TATGAAAGAACTTTTAGCAGTGGAACTACTAGTAGTGAGATTGTTGATGTGTAAAGTTTGAATATAACAAAGAAAACTAAAATATATTTTTGTAAGTATAACTTTGACTTTTTAAAAATCGGGTTTGTATTTTTTTGGTATTGAGAAGGAGCCTATGCCATAGTGTGTGATTTGTTTCGAAACGCTATCCAACGAATATATAAAATTTTCAAAACTTGAAAGGCATCTATCAACTAAACATTCTGAATGTGTAGGGAAATCTCTTGATTTCTTTCTAATCAAGAAAAAAAATCTTTCTATGACAAAATCAGTCATGGAAAAATCTTCAAAACAAAACATAGCAAGTACTCAAGTTTCTTATAAACTTTCATTATTAATCGCAAAGAAGGGGTCAAGTCACACCGTGGAAGAAGAAAATATTATTCCCGCAGCAAAAATAATAAGTAATGCTTTGTTTGATGAAAAATGTACCAAAAAAATCAATGAAATTCCATTATCAAATACGACTGTGAAAAGAAGAATTGATGAAATGTCGAAAAATGTGAAAATAGCTATTATTACTGTTTTAAAATAAAGTAAATATTTTTTGCTGCAACTGGATGAAAGTACAAACGTAGCTAGCAAAGCTAATTTATTAGCTTTTATTCGTTATGATTTGAATGGTAATATTGAAGAAGAAATGCTGTTTTGCCAGTCTTAGTTGAAAAAAACATGTGGCAAAGAAATTTTTAATCCGTTGAAAACTTTATAAAAGAAAACGAAGTAGATTGGTCAAAGTGTGTAGGTTTGATAACTGATAAGGCACGTGTTATATCTGGAATTCATACTGGATTAATTGCCAAAATTAGGTCAGTTGCTCCCTTAGTTCAATAGACACATTGTAGCATATATAGAGAGGCTCTTGTAGTTAAATTTTTGGACCAGTGTTTTAAAAAAAACTCTTGATGATGCAGTTAAAATCGTCAAATTTAAAGTAAGGTCTAAAAACTCCAGACTGTTGGTGTTTTGTGTGATAAAATGGGAAGTGAACACAAACAGCTTCTACTTCACTGTGAAGTTCGTTGGCTGTCAAGAGGTAAAGTGTTATCAAGATTGTTTGAGCTCTGTGATGAACTTAGGGTTTTCCTTATGGAAGGGGACTATGATGGAAAACTTGCAAGTTCCTACTTAGAATTGGTGACCGATGAAAAGTGGTTGAAACGGTTGGCATATTTGGCGGATATTTTTAGTACCCTCAACATTCTTAATTTAACTTTGCAAGGCAAAGACATTCATAAGGTTTTTGTGCAAGACAAATTTGATATTTTATGAAAACGTATGTAGGTATTCTATGGGTGGGCCTCAAATATTTTTTTACAAAATTAGTGATCCGCGAAACTAAAAAGGTCGGGAACCGCTGGTTTACGTGGTGCCAATATGACGATTTCATTGTATTAAAGCCAAATCATGATTAAATAGTAGTGCACAATATTATTATTGTACAGTAATTGATTGAGAGGTGATGATAAATCAAGGTTATTGATATAAGTCGTGGATTTACGTGTGTTTTGAGCAGGTATACCGCATGTCGAGGAAAGCGCGTACGTGAAGACTAAATACACATGATTTTGGTGTTTGTATAATAATTAATCATGCTACCACACCGTCGTACATTTATTTAGATAAAATTGAAAATTTTTCCATCCGTGCAAGATAAGTCCTATAACGATTACATACACGGTACTGAAAATATACATAATATTGTATTGGATCAAAGCGGAGTTGCCGTCATAACCACTTCGTATACGTATAATTTTGAATAATTGCGTGAAAATATTTTTCTAAGTACAATCGAATGAAAATAACAGACATCGGTTGTAAATTACAAATGTAATAATACTCTAAGCATTGCATTTATTTATATATTGATTTACGTGTGTTAAACATTCACTAATTTTTATTATCATATATTTTTTATCATTTTATTATATACAATCTACCACGCAACAAAAATAAAGCGTATGATGAACGCAGTGATATTCGATTGAAACAGTACATCGGTACGTCTATAGCTCTGTGTTATGTCACAACGAGACGAGAAAGTTTTTCACAATACATTACAACACTAATGTTTTATCATACTGATATCAAGTGATGCCTCTCATGAACAGGGTCGAATATCCATTATGCATACGCAACATCGGGAACCAATTAATATCGGCTGTAGTCATTTTCCAATCAAAAATTGGATACCGTTTACTCCACTATTCATTTTCTACCAAAAAATAAAAAAATAAAAAATTGACAGTTTTCTTCCAGTAAAGAATTATGGATAAAAATAGGCTATGTTTATGTTTAACACCAATTATATAATTAGTAAAAATAACTTTTAAATAGGTACTTAACTATATTTTTTTTTATAATTATATTATATGCGACAAATACCTGTGTGTAAAAAAAAGAAATATTAGACAAATTAATGATAATTTTACTTTTTGCTTGGTAGTTTTTAGATTTTTTTTTTTTTTTGTGGGATGTGTGCTTCTTATTTTACAATAAATATCAATTTGAACTTGTTTCGCATTATTTTTTGTTTTAAAATGTTAATGAAACGACTTAAAATTAAGCTTACGTTACGATGTTATCGACTGTTACTTTCACTTTATAATACGGTACACAAAGTCGACATAATTTTAGTTCAAAAAAAGTTTGGAGAAAAATGGCATGTACCCTTTTTTTTTCTTTTTGTTTTTAAAGAAAATGGAACCACTCTTAATATCGTATGGTTCACGCGAAAATCTCCGTTCAGCCCTCACCATCGCAGTACTAACGTCTCTGGAAACTTATTTGGTAAAAATTTCAAATACATATAAATATGTGCGTGTGAATAAGAGTACCAAAAAACGGTACCTCGCAAAAATTTTGACCCAAGTCTGTGTGTATGTATAGAATCTAAAAGAATAAAAGTGAACACTCGCGGAGTTAACAGCAGAAAATCGTTCGCGTATAATAACAGTATTATAAAAATACGTGTACATAATTTATAGCACTAGCTCGCGGATTGGTTTTTTCATTTATTTCTGCGTCGCTGCAGCATATTATTAAAATCGTCATAATAATACGAGTGAGTGAATATTAAAACATTCTACGTGTACAGCTCGGGAATGTTAACGACGGATTTGCGTTTTCTTTTGCCTAGCGCATGATACTGCTATTATATCTCTATAAGCACCATACAGATTATTGATTCGCAAACAGTATCCTGCAGATTTCATCCCCCAAAATTCATTTCGCATGTACAGTTACGTGACTTCCAACGTATCGAATAATATAGAAATATTTTTTCGTAAACAGTTCGTTTGAATAAATTTTTTCAGTTTATTTTTCTGCTATTTTTCATGTAACGTAGTCGAAATTTGGACCCTTCATTTTTGTTTTTCATTTATTTCCGATAGTATATAATATATATTTATCATTATATTATGATGATGTAATTTTTAATTTTATTTTATTAATATTTGCTACTATTTTAAGATCACTTGGATTGAATGCAAATGCTTATCACGATACACTAATTATGCAAAAGGTAAATATCAATATAAAAATTATTTTTCACTTCTATATATTATAGAAATAAATGTAAATAACATACTGCATATATGCTGTGAATTCGTCCTTCTAGCGTAACTATTTGACAACGTCTCGATTTCAACCGAGAAATTGCATTTTTAGTGGTCAAATCAACTTTGGGCCTCGGGGTGTAAGTACTTATTTTTCACTTGCTGACCTATCCTAGAATTACCGTGTTTAATATGTTGATTTTAATAATTATTGATTTTCGTACATTTAAATATTGTATAGAAAATATAAATTAAAAATAAATATAAATAGAATTTACAACGATTATTTTTTTTTTTTTTTCATAATAGTAATTGCTTTAAAATAGTAAAATATCTTTGAAGCGAAGCCGAGTAATTTAGCTAGAGCAATATATGATCATGTAGTCCTAACCATGACATAAATTGTATAAAATATATTACTTAAATAACATACGGGTAGAGAGCAAGAGTAAAATTTTGGAAAATAATAAAGCATCAGCAACAAATTTTATGTCGACGAACTCGTTTCTATAAGACTATAACTGTTGGATACTGTAGTCGAAATAGAAACGGCTGCGATCGCGAAAACGGATCATCGGAAGATTAATACACATTTATAATATTGAAAGGTCGTTTTCGGTTTTGCTTGCGATTTCATGCGTTTTTATCGGAAGCGATATTAAGTGATTACACAGACTCATGTTCGAGTATTAGCTAAACAACGAAACCGTGTGATAATGTAGAAATGTCGATTGGATAATAATAATACGTCTTATATTGGTGTATGTTACGAAATGGGAATATCGTGTTGTACGTATAACATCATAATACGAGTTTGTATAACCGATGAATATATTATTATAATATTGGCGTGCGGTCGGAGATTTGGATGTAGTTACACGTTCTGTAGTAGTTTCCGCTGTCGGCCAAAATCGTAAATGTGAAAGCGAACACATGTGATGTGAACCGAATGATCGAAAACGAAAAATCCCGTCCCTCCCACGATAACTAGTGCAATGTTTCCTAACTTCTTTTACTCGCGAAACCTTTGCTGGAGCTGAAACTTTGCTGCGCGCTAATAACTGCAGATAAGATAAATAAATAGGTAACTAGTATTAATATACTCGAATAGGGGTGGATAACCAACAATATTGTTATAGAATTATTAACGTTATGATGAATATTTTATCAAAAGATAAGGAAACATGAAGATTCCTAGATTCGAATTCAAATCAAAAAAAATTGCTAATTAATTTAAATTTTCCCAGATTTCTCACGGAACCCCAGCTGGGAAACACTGAACTAGTGTACGGTGTTTGTCACCCGCTAACACATGTAAATGTGGTGCACTAATAGTTTACTCTTGTCCACGATCTACCTCGTTCGTTGACCTATAATACCATTGCGTTGTTTGTGTTACAGAAAATCACAGCTATCAAACGCCGAACATCAAAGGAGACAAAGGCGATCCCGGTCAAAAAGGAGGTATAATTCTGGAATACGTTTTTTTTTTTTTTAACCTAAACTCAATAGCTATTCGGTGAACTTTATAACAGGTGTGTGTGTGTGTGTGTGTGTGTGTGTGTGTGTGTGTGTGTGTGTGTGTGTGTGTGTGTGTGTGTGTTTGAGTGTTTGTGACGTTAATGAACCATTATTTGATATACTAGTACGATAAAAATATCGCTCCTCGTTAGCGGACTTTGAGTACGCCCGGTCAGCAGTCGTGTGGTTCGCCAAGCCTGAATAGAATAATGGTCCACTCGCAACTATACATACATATATATATTAACGATTTAATTTGTTTGTACGCAACAGGGAGAGTCGATCAGAGGACCGCCAGGACCACCAGGACCTCCAGGCTCACCATTTTCCGGGGACTTTGCCACGGACGAAGAAGTGAGTACTCTATCGCAATATTAAACATCGGTTGTATGCGATTCGCAAGTGAAACTAGGGAAATATAGCGAGGAGTAGGGGAGTCAACATTGTCTGCTCTGAGTGGGCTCTGTAACTATAGAAATAAGCTACATGAATAGAAAGTAGAAATCGTACTATATAGTTCGCACAGCGGACCCACAGTCAGAATTCCATTCAAATCGATGTATAAGCGCATAACGGCATCGTGGGGGGCGAGTCGTCGTTCTGTATAAAATGTTTCCCGAACGTTTCATTGAACAGAACGTGGTGGAATCTTTATAGAACGACTGGACTTACGTTTCATTAACGTAAATCTCTCGAAACACCATGTCACAGTGTGGTAACCGAAAATATTATCAACACAAATTGAATCCGACCTGCCCTCCTCACCTGTCGAATTTCGTTTCGCTTCCCCGTCGAATTTCCCGAGCCACCGTTTTTCATCCTTTCACGGTTTGCGAATACACTCACTAGCGGTGCAATTTTACCGACACGCGTAAATTGTACTCGAAACTTTTCGGGCCAAATGTGTAATCTTGGTGCACCACGCATCGCTACGCAACCGAAACCTTGGCGGTATATTCAGATCATTTTTAAACAGCAACGTTTCCGTCCACGAATCGATTTCCAAACGACTCGGCCGAAAGAGAAACCGGGCGCGTTAGGGGTTAGTTGGGCGACTCGTACGAAACGACGAGCGGGTCGGACGTCCGTGGCGTTGTCAATTCACAGCGAACGTGACGACGACGAACGGCCGTCGAGCGAATAGGGGAATGTTTACAAAATACGCCTCGTTAAAGGAAGTCGGCAGCGTGTGAAAAGTTTGAAAACTTTTCAGCCGCACACGATCAGGCATAACGTTTAACGAAAGTTTAAGGAACCGCCCTGCCGCGGCGCCTTTTGATGGTAATCAATGCGCGCACATAGTTTAAAGAAATACAGTTCAGTCCCGTCCGTTTGTCCCACCGAATGTGACAGTTGACGTTGGATTTGTCGTGTGCACGTTTAACGTAATTAACATTCATTGCTCGTTTGCCATCAATTTCGGTAAATTAATACGATCCATATTCAACATTATACTATGTATATGTACTATGTATAATGTGTATGTATAAACCCGTGACACGTATCGTCGATATTAATTAATTCATTCATTTTTTTTTCTTTACTTTTAATGAAAACAATACGGCAATACAATTATAAATGTATGGCGATTTAATTTGTTTGATTTTATTATATTTCATAATATTTTATTAATAAGGAGGAGACGTTTGTGAAGATTAATTTTTCATTTATTCAAATATTTTTATGTTATTTTTATCTTTATTTTTTATTTATATTATGTCAAGGACAATTCATGTGATTTCTATACATTATAATATAGACATCTAGAGATGTTAAAATACGGTATTTATTTTTCTGTATAATATCGTTATCGTAATAAAATCCGGTAATTACATTAATTTAATTAATATTTAGTCTTGCGACCAATTATGATATACTGAATGTATTGTTTATACCTAGTGAATAGAAATAATTTTGTATTTATTTATATTTTAATCATAGCTCATATTAAATTTGACCAGATTACCATTATTGATAGTTAATAGTGTTAACCAGACGATCAACTCGTTCATTTCCAGAAATACCAATATGATCTGAAACTCAAATTAACGATACCGAAACGGAATTGAATTCTAGCGACAAAAATATAAAAATTATAGTGCAAATTTAAAGAACAATTGGAGAACATTTGGAATAGAAAGCATTACCATATATGGCTTGTAGACTAGAGTGAGAGTCAGATAATCGTAATAATAAGTAATTTCAAAAAGAAAGAGATGTAATACAATTGAGAGCGTTGACAAATTATTTGACATTGAAATTTAAGGGCGAATCGAAAGGCATGTATTGCTTACAAGGAAAAGTAAAATGAGAAGAAATTCTTCCTCCATCTGAACCACTTCACTCTCTTTACGGGAGATCATCCGAAATTCAAACAATTTATGCGCAATATTCGCCGTTATAATAACGCATTTCAAATTTCATATTTCAAGAATAAGCAAGCCGTTGAGCGTGGTTTAATGCCTACATTTAAAATTCAAGGATAAATATATCACTTAGCTGGGAACTTGCTACCACTTCGATCCGATGATCAAAGATTTCTGCAAAATGTATTTCATTTCAGATCCAGATAATACCCATGTGGAGCCAGGACGGGTCGTTAGTTTTATAACATTGAAAGTTGTATGCCAAATGTTTTTGAATAACATAAGTTGACATAGAATGCATGGTGTGCAATGATATTGAAACATTAGCGATATCTTAATTTAAAGGAAATAATGAACAACTATGATATTTTGAATTTAATGTGGTTTTATCGTTGAAAACTGCAGGCCACAACTAATGATTTTTATATTATAAGATTTTCTTAACAGTGCCGCTTCGTGAAATTTTATTTTACGGTGTAATTCAAATAAAAAAACAGTCTTTAAACACTTTTTTGATTAGTTTCGAAATGTATGCAATAACAATAAAGTAAACGTGATTATGGAAGTTATATTCTCACTTGAAAATAGTACAGAATATTATTATTATATTGTATTTATAAATGTCATAAAGAAAATATGTGGCCCGTATTTGAGATCCCGGTATATCGCACCCTCAAGCACCCCCGATAAATCTGGCACAGTTTCTAGGGTCAGGTCGTATAGAATAATTATTTCGCATACTATAACGATCCAGTAGTTGGTTCGTTCGCAGTCCCACGTGAATCCAATAAATACGACGATTCATTCACATGGTTTCCATTCTTCGATCCTTATTATATAATATTATATTCGTTTGACCTATTCGCACCGGTAACCATATCGTCTAAGCAACGAATTAATCTAAGCGAGTACACCAAAGGGATATACCGATTTCCAGGTCTTACCGCAAATTAACATATACCAAAATACACATAACGGTGTGTTTTCCGACCAAGTGTATAAATAATTAGGTACGAGAGGGTGAAATATGTGATCATTGATATAATTTATTATCATAATTACAATGATAATACAAACGTGCTCGGATCAGTGGTTTTGTAAACTAATAGATGAAAAAACGCGGTGGCCTGCTGCAGTACGTTCGATAAAAGAGTAAAAGTCTGAAAATAAATCGCCTAATATTAGTTCACATCCGTTTCGCAGCCGTTCGAATGTTTGGGATTTTGTAGTTTACGATCTATAAAACATATAAAAAACGTATCACCACAGCGCCAATAAACGGGGTGAAAAACAAACTATATTATATAATGGTGTTGTTCACTACCGATCTGAGATCACGATACACGACTGTTGAAATAACTGCATTATGATACGGCTCGAATGAAGCCGAATTTTTCGCATCAATGAAATTCACACGCAAAACACGAATCACTCAAATATAGAAGTTATCGTTGTTCGTTTTTATCGTGCAACAAGTGTAACATTTGGATCGTTATCATAGTCGTGTATGATACCGACGGCGTCTCACATAAATACACTTTAAACAACACGCGTTTCAGTGATTTCGTTAAAAACCTAAAACTATGAATGTGTGTGTGTGTGTGATATAATATAACATTTTTAGAGCAAGAACGAGGATAAACGATTACATAGATTTCGGTTATCGATGATTTACGTTTTGTACAATAAAAATAATAACCAAATATTTTTATTCGCTGTTGGAAGCTTTATTATTTTTCTCCATGAAATAAATTAAATACAATTAATGGTAAAAATATAATTTTAGTTTTCAATTTCATTAGATACACTCGTTCCTTATCCTATTTTCTTTCCAAGCGATATTGTTCGAAGTATTCCTTTTACTGCAGTTTACAAAATTAGCTGGTACATACTCGTATATACGATTAAACTAATATAGTGATCTAAATATAAATACGTTGTTTTATGATATAAAAATGGAACGTTTTATCTTGTTATTTCTTAGAAATTCGTTAATTACATTTTTGAAAAAATGCAACATTAAGCGTATATTATAGATGTTTATTTTCGATTAACTTTTCAAAAATATGTTTACATTTTATCATAAAAAAATATTAAAAAAACATAACATACTAATTAACTTGCGTTATTAATCACAAACAAAATGTTAATCGACTATGAAGTTATGACTCATAACTTATGAATAGATATAATAAATAATTATTAAGATAAAAAAATTGTCAATATTAAATATAAATCATACTTACATAATTTACAGTTATAATACTAATAAATTCATCATTTATATACCAAGCTATGCACAAAAATAATGAAGCTTCTAACTGTTATAACCTATAAAAAAAAGTTTTAATTTTCACATTAATCATGAAGGTTTTCCGCGTAGAGTATTATAAATAAAAAAAATTGTCTAGGTATATCTTTGTACTATATAAAAAACATTTTTTTAATTTATTTTTTATTTTATTAAACTTTGTTATTTTTATGAACGATAAGTGTATGTGATGAGAGTTACGTATATGTCGTAAAGGAGTGATTGAAGGAGTCTTCCGGTATAATAAATGCTAAATCGAAAAATAATTATAATTCCATTTATTATTTTATCAAAATTGTACAATTTCAGAAAAACAATTAAAGTAATCCTTCTGACGTAATTTTTTATTTAAATAAATACAGGGTATATATCTTCAATTTTCTAAAAGTTTTAAAATCGGCATTATATTTTATTTTTTAATTTCGATGTTTTTTTTTAAATGGTGTTTAAAAACTTTTTATTTTCAAGTGAAATGGTGAATTTATTATAATACCTTTTAAGTGATGCAAAAAAAAAAACCGATTTTAGTATTTTTATGGTTTAGGATATAAAATTGTATTTAGGATAAGGGTGGATGACTTGAAATAGTTGAGAGAAAGACAATAGAGAAGAAGAAGAAGAAGATATAAAATTGTATTGATCAAAAATGTATTTTGTTTATTACGTTTATTATAAGAACTTTTTAGTTCCACCATTTATAACGATAATAATTTTGAATTTTTCATCTTTACCAGTACACTATTTTAGTTTTTTGCACATACTTAGAATGACTAACAAAATTAACCAATACTTATGAAAGTCTTACAGTACTCATAATAAGATCTTTATGATAAATGACATGTTTAGTTTGAATAAAAAGTTAGATCAACTGATGCACTTGTTAATTAACGGAGAGTTGTCAATTTTTATACAATCTTGGTTTTTTTTTTTTTTTTTAGAATTTTTGCTTAAAACAATCGATCTCAAAAATAACAAAAAGACAAATGAAATTTTTGTTATTAATGTTTTAAAATACAAATTAGTTACTAAATTATGATATAATATACGAGTACATAACGTGCGGAAATTATAGACATAATTATAAAAAATTAAGAGATTATTTAAACTTATAATTTGCCAACATGTTACATGTTGAATTACACAATGTACTCTTGTTCATAATTAAATAGCCATTATCAACTAAAAATATATTTATATACATAGATATCCAGTGAGCACGAGCAAGCATATCTTATAACTGTGATATATATATATATATATATATATATATATATATATATATATATTATAATAATTATTCGTTTTCATTATTCTACCAATGGCAACATAACATTTTTTGTTAACCAATTATAATTATTATTTTATGAAATTAATTTAATTAAGTTTACAATCTAGTTAGCTGGCCGTATACCTGATTTACCTCAATGTTTAAGTTTTAGTATCTATAGTTTACCAATAACAAAATTATGTTAAATAAGTTAACCAGTAGTAAATAGGTATTTATTTATTAGTTACCGTTTTTTGTATACCTAACATACCCTAACATACTGTATACCTACATACTGTATATCCCCTGTATAATACCCTAACATGTTGTAGAAAAGTAACATTTTGAAGTGTACAAAATGTTAGTTTAAAGGCAAATACACCTTTATGTTGACAATTAGACTTACAAACATATTTTAAAAATCCTTGGCCAATTTTTGTGGATTGAAATTTTATCGATTCATTATACTGTTCATCAGATAAAAAACTAGTATTAGTGGCTAAACTTTTTAAAAAATGTTGTAGTTAGTTATAACAATTTGATTTCATATAAATCGTATGCATAGTTACAACACCAAAACAAGACAGGAAAATTACAAGAAAAATTACGATATTGTAATAAAATTATTAGTACGTTCAATATCGTATCTCAGAATTATTATTATAATAGTGAAAGAATATTTATCTTTATTGCGTTAAATCGTGCACGCACATTTATGATAAACGATAAGTAAAGTCGTTGGTAACAGACGATGTCCAATTTGTTTATTTTCATCATATTGCATACTCCACGTTTGGCATTATACATAATACTTAGACGTTTTGCAAAATATCTGATTATCCATATTACCGGTAACATATATATAGGTACATCATTTAAATCACAATGCGAAAATATCTGGATTCCAAAAACTCTATTTAGGAATATAAATGTTGATGGTGGATCGTGATACTCTGTTTAAATATTCACCGAAATCCTGATGATCACCACTGACCATAACCCTTCGACCGGGTATACCTAGCTCATCGGTGGTGTCTTATTTAAATTGCCAAAGTTTTGAAAAGCGTTTCTTATTACATATACCGCGCGTGCGTGTATATATTTATATGTATATAAGGCGTTATTATCAAAGTTGACCAAAGTCGTGCTAGCACAACCACAAAGTGTTATGTACTAATCCGCTTTGGGATCACGTGCTGCAAATGTCTAATATGCGGCCTGCAATATTCGCGCGAGAGGGTCGATGCAAGGTATTATAATATTATAATCGACACAGCGAAAACGATAACAATAACGATATCGCGCAAAAGCTTAATACAGCAAGTCTGCACGCGTTTACGCGTTACAATAATAATTATAACGAACGCTCACTTCAACGCGGATCACATTTTCTTTTTCCCAAAATGTCCGAAGCCACTGTTTTCCAAATAACTGATAATTGAAAAGAATTTTTTTTGCTTTGCAATTTATTTTTTATTTTTATAATGATTATTAAATTATTTTATGACATCATTAGTTTTATATTTTTAAAATTTTAGATATAATTTGAAAATAATGTGATTTAAGTTCCTTCTGATCAACGCATTTGTCGCAATCGTCACTCTTGTATGGTCATGTTTACGTGTTTAAATAATTTTTACTTCTAATTTTATTTTACCAAATGTTTTTACCGGATTATTCCGTGATGAATACGGCGCCAATGTTTTAAATTGATTTTTCAACGTTCATCAATGACAACAATAATAGTTATTATTATACTCGTCAAAATATTATGTATCAATATAATAATAATAAATTATGCGATTCCGCTTGTTTTGTTTCAGCTCGTCAAGTCTGGAGTGTCCGGCCCGAGGGGACCGCCAGGCGTGTGCAGTTGCAACCTGACCACATTGTTTGCACCCGGTAACATACCGGAACTGCTACCGGGACCACCGGGCAATCCGGGCGCCGACGGTCAGATGGGAATGACAGGACTTCCGGTTAGTATAAAATGCGACCAACTAGCTGATTTACACCCGTTACAATAAGCATTGTGATGTCATAATAATAATAATAATATTGTACGATATGCATTCGGCAACTTAAACAATTGGTGTCCTTTTCGAATTTTTCGAGTCACCGCACGCTAGATTTATATGGCTAGAAAATAATAAACCGAAATCCATACAAGTTGAATTTCAGTTGACGATACGGAAAAAAACGTCAACTTGAATTGTTTATGTAAAAAAGGTCGGTTTATGTTATTAGTGAGCGCTTCATGTGGGTGACATTTTTTTATTTATTATTTATCAAATGTTATGTTCAATCTGTGTCTATGGCACAATAAAATATTAACCATAAACAATAAGATATGAGGAAGAAAAAATAATAATTAATTTAAATAAAGAACAACTTATTGTTAGTACTTATAAAAATCTAATTTTATTAAAGCAGAACATGACACCACTTGCGCTTCAAGCGTATAGGGGTTTATTAGGTGTCGCAGCCGAAGCCAAATTTTGGATGAGAGGATCTTAGTTGAAAGATATGTATGGTTCGATACTTAAAAAAGCACATTTATTTAACTTCCTGAAGGCAATATTTTGGAATGTTTGAATATAATTTATGTTTCGTATAACTTCACAACCGAAAACCATATGTCCATATTGGTTTTTTAAACAGATTACTAGTTGTGGTGAATCTATCCCGTGAGTGAGGATAATAATGTCACTGATATTCCACACCGTAATGAACACAATGAGGTTGGTAACCTCAATATGTTTTACTATGAACGTATTGTTGACAATTTGAACGTTGACTTATTGGTTTTAGTTTATACGGTTCTTTAATTGTGATTTTTGTGTATAAAAGCGAAGATAATTAAAACATTACTTATTATCTTGGTGTTAATACTAATTAAACGAACGTGACTTATCTTACTTCAAAGAGACGAATTTCAAGCTTGTCTTTGATTAGGTCCAATGGGGTGAAATGATGTAGATTAGGTATTACAACGCGTAGTGGTTTGTCCTCTTTGAGTTGATATTTGTGGAACTCTGCTTTTTTAGTTTTTAGATAGTAAACTAATTATCTGTATACGCATAAGTTGGAAGTTTAAATTTTCAATTGATCGGTTGTAGATTTATACACAAAGTTATCCACAAAATCTAATTTAACTAAAACTGAACATAGCACTGAGAAATCGTCCGCAACGTTCGTGAAAATAGTAGGAGAATATTTAGATATATAATTTTCGATATCAGGTCAACTGAATTTAGTTGAGAGATTTTTAGTTAATTTTGGACGACCAACTCAAAGCTATTTGATGTGGCTATTTTATTTATAATTAGTTTTTTATTTTTTTTTTTTTATAATAGGACACAGTGGTTCAAAAACTGTGTTGGAAGAATTAGAATGATGATGTTTATTTATTTGTGTAGTTCAACCAGCAATTTTTGAAGTATTTTTTTTTTTTAAAGTTCTTTCGTGGTTAGAGTTATATTGACATATTTAAAATTTGATGTCAGTATTGATTAATTATAAGTATGATTTGAAAATGTATTATTATTATTATTTTTTATTGAATTTGCTTTCATCGTGATTATGGTAGGTAATTAAGTTACTCGGATTCGGCGTGCTGACCCAAGATAAGATGATGTCCTTAGTAAGTCTCGAGTAATTAAAGATACAACAATAATGACTTAGACATAAATGAACGTGTTTAACTTACGTATTGAGTTATAATTCAAAATTAATAGCTATAATTTTCTTTTACGAAGGTAAAAAAAAATACACAATAGTAGCACGAAATAAAAAAATACGACATAGTGATTCTATTATAATGTATACGACTTCCTACATGGAAATAAGATGGATAACATAAAAACAATATTATGCTTTTTTGGTTTTTAAATAATATTACTAATAATTACCAGTTTGTATGATTTTTTTCATCTGCCATTCCAAATGACAAGGAAAAAATCAAATTATAATAAAAGTTATTAAAATGATAATTTCCTCTAGTACTATATGTAGCAAATAAGTATAAATTAATTAATTAATAAAGTATTTTCGTTGTGCAAATAAACATTTTTACTTCACTTAAATTTCTGAATTAATTATTGCCTGTCCTTAAGTAATGGCGTATATATTATATTTTGAACATTTCTTTTTTGTTTACATTCACTAACATAGGAGCCTATCAAATGTTATCTCTTATTGAACCTACGTAATATGTATCAAACTTCATATTTCTACACAGTGTTTATCACAGCATAATAAATTTATTAAGTGCCTTTAAATGTATTCACTGTTTTCGTAATGGTCAATGTAATGCAAATTATTGGTGAATATTATGGAGGTATGTATTGCGTTTCGGACTCATAAATTATGCATTAGAGATACGCAGGAAGTCGGCACGCTCGTAAAGTAACTTATGCTTTTCCATAATAATTGAAAATCATACATATTGTATCACACTTTAGGAGAAAAAAAAGTTGTAAACAATTTTTTCTCGTCAAATTATTATACAGTTATCTGACATTAAATAATATTACTCACTTAAAATACGTCTAACACTTCGTCTACCATACAACGATACTTTGTCACTCGTTTTTATTTTCATAGAGATCTGATAAAAAAATAAACACTTAACCTGTTCCATTACACTACACGTAACAATCAAAAACGCATCGCTTTTACAATACTCTGTAGAAACTACAGTGTCAAGTAAAATTACGTAACGACTTTATTTTAAAAATATAAATATTTTAAGAATATAAATATTTTAAAAATATAAATATTTTAAACTTAAAAACGCATATATTTAGTGAATCAGATAACTTTTAGTATCATTGAAGATACTATAATAGAATTTTTTTAGTATGAAACTTAATTATTTTTTACCATATTTATCAAATTTAGTATTAATTTGATAGTTATAAGAATTATATGAATTACACTTCCAATAACAATTTATATTCTCTTAATAATAACTGTTTTGATTTACCTTCTTTCTGCGGCAATCCATTAGTTATACCTGATAATATGCCAAGCGATTTCTAATATAATCTAATCTTTCGTGCCTAATTTGGCTCTTATTCAGAACATATTTTGATAAAGGTATCCGTTCATCTTCTCTTCTAATCTCTCTCTTAATATTTTTCTCTTTGTTCTTCAAGACCACCAATGTAATATTAATATCTAGTGACAAACACAAATCCGAAACCTACAAGCCCATTAGCTATACCATATACTTTGAAGTAAAATTATTAAAAATGTAGAATCTCTTCGAAGAAAGTTTCTACTCTGGTCGATCAACTATAATATTAAAATAGTATGTTATACTAAATTCGTTCATTAGACTCCTGGTCCATTTTTATGCTACTGGTTGACCTTTACCACGCCTGTCGATTATGGTACGACAATATTATCGAAGTACCTACAAAATCAATCGCGTACACATTTCAATCATAATTAACATTTTATACACAGACATTTTCATAAGAACATCAACATTTCTATAAAACCGGATTCACGCGTAGTCGTGAAATGGACGAAAATACTACTCATTCTACGCATGTTACACGACTTGCTTATCTTTCACAACTGATGGTTTACAATCTCCAGTTCACATGTCCGTCGCTATTGATCATTTTGATTTTCGCGGGTTTCTCACGGTTTTTATTTTGGCTAAACGCGAAAGTGCGAAAATTGTGCGCAAATTATTAATTCATCGATTCATGATTAACCTAACCGAATCTCGTTAGAAAAACGGTAAAAAAAAGCGTGTGTGGATTTGTGAACGGATAAAAAAGCGAGATTCACTCAGTGCTACAAAAAATATACATCAGGAATTAACAGTGGAACACCCAGGTGGCTACAAAAACTTCACGTATTTGTCCTATGTAGAACCGATTATTATTCACTTAATATAAATAACTATAATTAGTTTGTTTTTCCTATAGGATCATCACATATTCAATCATTAATTGTCTAAGAATGATTTCAAACTCAAGATGTAAAGACAATTACTCGTGGGAGAAAGAGTTTTAAGTTTGAATACGGATTAATACGAAATAATGTATACTTTTAGCACCAATGTGATGCAAAATACGAAAAAAATCTTTAACTATCATTGAACTATTCATTTGTCAGAAAAAAAAATTTCTTGGCTAGAGCCAGAAATGCGATAAAATTGTGTTACCTTTCTATAGTTATAATAGTATACGATAGGTACGTGTATGAAAATAAAGCGTAATCAAATTTACCCATTACCCTCATCTGAATATTATCCTAATTTCGTATACATTAACATAGTGACCTATAACAATGGGAACTACTAACGGGAAGTTTCACATATTATCAAGCAGATAAAACTACAGTAAAATATTAATCAACCTTGTAACACTCCAAACACGCTCTCCGTTATGTTTAATCTTAATTTTCTTTCGTGGTTTCTATAGTTAACCTGGACAATTTTTTGCATTGACATATTAACAGTATTTAGAAATAAGTGTCCCAGATCTAAAAAACAAAACCATAAAAACTTTTCGCCGAATGAGTCAGTGACATTTTAAATTGATTTACATGTCCAAAAGACCATTTGTGAAAAAACTTTATAATACAAACTGTTTTTAATAGGTTATAAAGATGTTGCAAGTAAACATTAAGTTTCAAGTAATTAATACGTCACAAACCACTTTTCAAATAACTATTTTATATCTTGTAACTGTTTTGATAATTATTTACAATAAGTAAGTACTCGTACCGCAAAAACATTGTGTTAAAGTTCTAAGAAGCTATTTTCGAACAATATTTTAAGTTTTGTTTAAGACATATTTATATATTTAATATTCAACTGTCGCCATTCATCCCATAAGTTCAAAGCAATTTAAAACTTTGTTTTCAAATATGCAAACAATCTAATTAAATTTCGATTCAACAATATTGTTAAAGATTTAAATTCAATCATAGTAAAACACATAGATACTAGATATACAATGTATATTTATACTACATACAAATAGTTTTCTAAATACATTTCTATTTTAAATTTTTAAAAAAAATTATATATAATATAAAGTCGAAACCCTTATTAATTCAATAATTATGCTTGTTATTTGAATAATATTTATGTATGTTATTAAGAATTTAGTTCTTTAATCATTCATCTAGTTTTCCGCTTAAACAAACGATATATGAGAAAAAATGTATGATATCAAATTTGTTCTTTTTATAAAAAAAATATAATGATTGAAAGACGATACTAGCATTTTAGCTTACTCAAGGAGTAATTTGGTACGGATATGTTATAAGCGCATTCTACTATAACGAATATCACAAATATATCGATATTGTAAACCCCAAAAAATAAATAAATAAATAAATAATCATAAAATAAAATTAAACAAAGTAAATAGGGGTAGGAAAAGTTTATTGTTTATGAAATGTACTACTTTGAATCATACGGAGGTTGATGGTCTGATACAGTTTTCTGGTTTGAATGTCAAGTCCTTATTTCACCCCTGTCATTATCATTGTGGGTCTCAAACCGTATACAAAGAGTTGCGGTAAACACATTATATGTTTTCTTTGCGGTATGCTATGGTTATTTAACGGAAATTTGACGTACATTTACTTTAAAATCTTACACGCCGAATTGCTATTAGAATTGATGAAATTGGTAATATTTACAAACTATAGAAAGTGTACGCTAGAACACTAGGCGGATTATTACATAACTTTAGAATTTTTAATCATTCCGTTCGGTTTAACTTTTGCGATTATCAACCGATACAGTGTAAAATAATATGGTACTATATTACAAACATATGGGAAATTGTAATTTCATTCACGAGCCGTAGCAGATAAAAAATATGCGTAATACGAGTAAAATAATGTTTAAAATGTATGAGCGTGTCGTACCTATACGTTGAGCATCTAGAAATACGTCAATACGAAATATTTGTGAAATAAGAAATTAATATTCAATTTTATATCCGTTTAGGAACTTACACGTATCCTTTATTCTCCTTGTATGGAAACTAAAACGTACCTGACCGCTTCATATACCTGCAACGTCTCGTGGATGAACCTTTTATATCCATCCTAAGACAGGTACGTAGCCAGTGGGGGGGTCCATGGGGTCCGGACTCCCCCCCGAAATGTCATCGATAAAATTGTTTTTAGAATCTGAGTGGAACGAAAATGCTAGTATTTTTAAAATGATACGGTTAGCACAAACATAAATATATATATATATATATACATAAACGAGAGACCCTCGTATAAACTAAACTCCATGAAAACCATGTTGATAAAAAATGACACAGTAGTAATTAGTAGGTATCTTCATAAGTTAAGATAGATTTGTAATATAATAATTATGATTGTCCTTTATCATCTGACTAGATCGTAATTTTTTTTTTTTTTTTACTTAACTTGACCCCCCCGACTTAAAATCCTGGCTACGTCCCTGTTCTAAGATGTAATATTGAGACACTCAACGAAAACACTGAAATCTTCCCAAAATCGTTCTGTGATTGATTTTTAACAATATTTTTTTTAACGCAATGTATACATGAAAATTAATTGATTCATTCATCGGTATCACCACAATAATAAAATGTGAAATGGGTGTAACAATATTATGTTTAATATACGTTTGAAAACTATGTAAATGCAGGATTATTTTTACTATAAAACGTTTATTTTTTTGGTTTTTTCTCAATTACCTAATTCTCTGTACCTAACTATTAGCTTTTAGAAAACCTTTTCTGTACCTATTTAAATAAAATAACCGTGACTGGCTTATTTTAGTACCAATGTTATAATAAATATAGTGTTATGATTCTATATTTTTTTATTGGTAAAGCTATTATTTTTATATTTATTCAAAAAGAAAAAAATCCCATTTGGTAAATCGCCAATAACATACATAGGTGTGCAACGTTCGTCCGAGGGTAAATGAGGATAATATCGGTGGTATAGCCGCTAGTAGAGCACTAGTGGATTACAGTCGATAAAGTGATCACTTGGGAAATCGTGAATGTTCCACTAATATTAAATAATAATGAAATTTCGGTTTTGGTATCACATCGGCAATCGTTTATTGAGCGGATTCTGAGAGCTGGGGAGTGGGAATGTATTAGAATAACCTGTTTAAAATTTCCAAAAATATAAGGACCGTTGGGTCGGCCTAGTTACGGAAAAGGTCATTCCAAATGCGCATAATTATTGGATTAAATGTAATTTATCGGATATATTGCCTCATGCACGCAATAGTCGTAGCCAAAACGGCGGAAAAACTAAACTTATAATGGTTTTTATTTTTTTAAGCTCTTATCCGAAGCACAACAATAATCGGAAGTGTTTTTCGAATTAATCATAACCGTAACGTTGCTAATCATTCATTATTAAGCACAATAATACCTAACGCAAACAATCGATGCAATATTCTGTTGGATTCATAATATTATTTTATAACATTAAAAAAAAAAAAAAAAAAAAATGCAAATCATCCGAAAATGTTATAATTTATGTGGCGTTAAGTACATCTGTACAGATCGACCATTCAACTGTATATAATGAACAATATTCCAATCATCGCTTCAACGATAAATTAATCATGTCATACACTATAAATGTTCATGAAATAATAATTAATTTGCTTTCCAGGGTGCCGCAGGATTGCCAGGAGAACGAGGACCAGAAGGCGTCAAAGGTAAAACGACGTTTTTTTTTTTTCATACGTAAATATTTCTAATGTACGATATATAATTGATTTATACAAATTGATCGATTTCAATTGCTAGCTATTTAACATATTTGATTTATGAAGTGTATCTATTTAAACGGATCAACTTGTACTTATTATATTATTGTGTTTATTTTATCGGATAATGCATCAATAATGCAGAGCGGTTTTGAATAAGTCCGAAACCACTGTTTTTACTAGTCGGTGTACATAAGTGATTACTTTTGCATTGTTGTTTTGAATGTATAAATATTTATCATCCATAACAAAGAATCTTCGGAATCAGTTCCATCGGGACTGTTGGCGTAAAGAATTATTACCAAAAGCCGTGCACAAGTAGATTATAAATTCCGAAATGCATTAATAATGTTGTTATTTTAGAATTTATATAGATTTGTTGTTTGGATTGAACGAAAAAAATTAAAATATACATTTTTATCAAGTCACGTAATACAGTTTGGCGACTAGTCATTTTTAGGACAACAATCGCTATGGTAAAGCATGGTCGATATAAAAATGTTAAATTTGTTCTCGCCGTAATCGCGAACCGAGGTGCCGTAACAATTATCTTGCGTGCACCATTAACCGCTGTACTTATTTTAAAACGAAATAACAATAAACCAACATGGCTGGTCGCACACAACCGTTAAAATGTTATCTGTTGTACATCTTATCGATTCAATTCAGCATCGCCAATGTGGGTGGATAATATTTAAGTTTCTGTCTTACGTAAACATTGCTCTTAAGCGAACCGCCGTCCGCTATCGTCGGAAAGCCAGCGAATTGATCATCGTAATTTTTCATTGTTACATTTCTGAAATCACGATCGCGAATCGTTCGTAGAATGAACAATAATGGTAAAAGTTCACGAGTAAACATCCGATCTACACTCGCGTGACACGATAGGTCACGACGCAACAGATGAAAATCAGGTCCAATTCATATACGACCAACAAGAAACGACAGAAACGCATTCAGTTGATTATAATCTTCATTTCAAACGGTCGGAAATTGATGATTCTCAACATGTTTAAAAATTTGAGATTTGAAGATTTAGGCGTGATAGTATTATTGCTCGTAACAATATATGTATACATAATATATTTTATTTTATGCAGGGCTGACGCTAGGATTATTGGCGCCTATGTCTTTTGTTTATAATAATTAGGCTTGTTCTAATCAATGCAAACGTTTTCGTTCACAAATGATGTAATTCATAAATTTATTTAAGTACGTGAGTACATAATAATGTGCATATTTTAAATAAATTCATTCCGACAGGCACAGACGACAAAACATTCTTTGCTCGAATGCTTTGTCGTATCGTGGAGTGTGAACGGCGGTCTGACCAGCTGCAGTTACCCGTAATTCCAAAATAATGAAATTCACTGGCACGAATAAATAATATATCCAGAGTATAATATTTTTTTGATCTGTAACAATGACGATTGGCTCACAAAAAATGTCTAATAATTACGAAAAGTCGCAGCGATTAGCGCACACGTTTTAGTTATAATAATAATAATAATAACGATTGTCGCGATTTGTGCACATATGAATATAAATCAAAACAATAGAAATTAGCGCCATGGATAAAATATTATAATAGTTCCACGATGGTTCGCGATTGCAATCACAAAAACTTTACAGTAAAAAAATCCGCGATGTTTGGCTTGTACACTTTTTAATGTCGACGGATAGCGGTTCGCACAAGACGAACATTAAACAATCATTTGCACACATCGAATCAATCGTATTCGCAACGAATAAAATTTAGACGCGAGCGTGTGATTAGTCGTTTTCGTTTATTTTTATTTCAAATTAGTTTAGTGGCTAGTGGTGCACGCCGAAATAACTGTTATGTAACTTTTGTTTGCGATTTCGACGCGAACAATATTGTCACCAGAATAGGTTTTTTTTTTCGATTTTCCATTAAAATGTATTCATGATATCCATAATAAACTCAACTAAATTTTATTGCACGGTTACGAAGCGAGCAGGATAATCGTTTATATTACCAATCATAATTATATTATGATGGAATCATAATAACGCTATACGCTTTGATTGGCTGATTTTATCACCAAGCAATAACGATAAAGCAACAGTAGTTAATAATTTTAATGTACGCATTATATACATATTTTATTTATTTTTTACCTTCGCCGCTCGTTACGTTCTAAAGCTAATAAATAACTTTTCGTTTCAACTCGATTTTAGTCCCTATACCACCCAACTTTCCTATAAAAAGAAATAAATTAACTGAACTAATTCCGATTTCGAAATTAAAAGTTGATCTCGTAAACGTTCTTACCGAGTACATTACATCTTATAAAGGTTTCGTCGTTTATCTCTCGGTCAAATAATACAGTTTTCACCGCTATTTTAGGATTATAAGTTATGATGCATAAAGAAATTCATAATATTATATTATAGTATGTGTTACTTATAAAACCCATGACATGCCGTTTTTGATATTTTTTTCCAATTCTATCCTAAACGTTATCCATAATGGCTGTTATTTTTACATTTCCGGAAACTTGCATTTATGATTGTAATAAATTTTGTAAGTTCATGTCATTGATTTTCACTTATGATGTGAACATTTCAAATTAAATTACCATTATTGGTGTGCAGTGAATTGTATATAAGAAATTAATATAATATAAAATTGTTTTTTTAGGAGATAAGGGCGAACGTGGAGACGTTGGTCAACGAGGAAGCGAAGGCATTCAAGGTCCCAAAGGTAAATAAACAAAGTCACATTATAACAACGTATTAATAACTTGCGTTTTTTGTTTGAATACTTGCAGGAGATGCTGGAATGGACGGAGAACGAGGTTTGCAAGGTCCTCCAGGTCCACCCGGACCCCCCGGAGGATCAGATTTTTCCAATAACGACGTAAGTGTTTTTTAATCATTTACAAATAAATTATAACATATTAATACGGTCTTTAGTCATACGTTTTCAGGCATTTGTAATACCTTATAATAATCCACATATTATGTTAACATAATATTTTCTTTTGAATAATTTGATTTTTTTTTTCTTGACAAATTATCACGTACAGCCGAGTTGGAAACCAAGGCCAATTTATAAGGTAAACCATGGTTATAGCTATGCTAATAATTCAATTCATGTATTGATTGATTAGTCAATTAATTGTTTACACATTTAATCACGAAACATTTACTCAAATTTTGTATTGATTTCATATTATTTTACGTATTGATGTTTGAATTTGATTATTGTATTATTAAAAGAATAAATTATTATGTACTATTTACCATATGTATTGTTTCCAGGACATTGGGTTTGAATCAAACGTCGGGAGACCTGGTCCTCCAGGTCCTAAAGGTGACCCTGGTGTTGACGGTGCTCCAGGCTTAAAAGGTAATTCAAAGCTTTGCCAGCATATTATTATAACAGCTTATGACTAGAATTTCTGATATAATAAAAAAAAAAACTGTTACACGCAATACCAAGACGAAAGCAAAAATAATAATAAAATTTTAAACTATATAAGTTATTAATTATTATACTAAAATTTATATTATTGTAATATTCACCGATATACTAGTGTTCATTGTAATTTCAATAATATTTCAATAATTTTATCATTAGATAATCTCGAAACAAACAATAAAATCTTCAAGCATGTACCGAACATTATTAGAACGCGTGCGATCATTATTCCCTCATATAGATTGTATCGTTAATTCGCTCAATTTATTATAATTTTTACTGATTCGATTTCGATTATGTTCAGGTGTAAAAGGAATCCAAGGAAACAAAGGATTGCGTGGCGAAGCGGGAACGAAAGGCAGCAAAGGCGATAAGGTGATGTTACCCCTTTATAATCTCATAAAATTTAATTATCACGTTACAATATACAATACGCACGAATATGATTTATCAAGTTGGATTGCACATGTGCGATTAAATGGCGAAACAAAATAAGCCCAAGTCTTGAAGCGCACAAATTGACAACCGGAGAGACAACCACACGATATATTTATATACACATATGTATGCGCGTGTACAAGTTTAAAATTAACATGTAGGTATATATTTGTATAAACGTTTACCCATTCCGGAGTATGAAACTGGACGGTTTGTGTTATAAATAAATCGAACCCTTTGACAGTAATTTTATTATTGTAACTACTATTGTTATACTGTTATTGTTTCGAACAACGCGCGGAGTCTATAATATTTGATACCGTTGTGCTGATGACTAATGGTGTGTATCATTGCTTTTGCCCGTCACTTGCACGCCGATTAACTCTTTTCTGCTCTTAAAATGTTGTACATTCAGTGCTCGCCCGTCCGTTAAATAATACACACGTTTATGCGATGTACAGATGTCACGCGATATCAATTAGGTATTTAAAGTTGTCGTAACTTTCTAGTGGTAACCTCGTTCCCCGTTTCGAATTTTAATTTTTGTCTCATGCAATTTTTAATTCGAACATTTAATTAGCGGATCGTGTTACCACCCATTTTTTTTTTTTTTTTTTTTTACCAAATAAGGCGCTGTCGCTCTCAACAGCACGCTAACCGTATATGAATCGACAGTGAAGTTATTTCAGATTTCTTGTTGGTGATGAAGTTTTTAGTACTATTTTAACACTGGCCCTTGGAAAAAAAAAACCCTCGATGTATTACGTACATAATGATACAATAGTTCTTCAACAGTTTTCATATAGTGAATAATTAAATCTGCACGTGCGGCAAAGCTTAACGAAATCAACGTACGAAGATCTTCTAAAATTTCCGATGGCGACACATCACCCTTCTGCTCTACTTATAGGTGCGCAGTAACACCCATTTTCCACGAAAATCAATTAGATAGAAAACAAAAAGATCGATTTAAACAATTTCCGTGCAACTTGATTGCGAAAAAGTCGGGAGCGCGTGTTATAAACTCTGTGCGATACACAGCAATGTATATATACATATCCCCTTAAGACATCACAAGACAGCAAGCAAGCTGTTGCAAAGTGTTTAAAATGAAATTCGTATTTGGATTAAACTCCTTGGGTAATGTTCTATAGAATACTCGAGTACTCGTCTGTGCTGTCTTATCTTCGAACACCGACGGAAAGTTAATTTTTGCAGGTCTGAACCTTTCTTGGAATATAAATCCTCTTCGCGTCACTTCCAATAATCATCGAATAAAGTCTATAAACTGCTAGGATGTCCGATAACGGGTGCACATAGTAAAACCATAGAGTAATGAACACGAATTTAAATAATTTACTCGAGCGCTGTTGAGTAGTACATAATGGCACTGCAACATAGCAACACGTCATACATAAACAATGGCCTGTTTATAGGATGTTTTCACTTCATTGGACGGCATTAAGTTCAAACAAATTAACGTCCCCTGGTCTCCCGATCCAGATGCATAATAAATAATCAATGACTAAATGTGCCTATGATCTACGTCCGCTGCGACTTTTACAGTAAATAAGTCGGAAAATCTGTCGCTTTATTAGTGAAAGAACTGGAAAAAATGAGCACTTGGAAAATATTGTTCCCCCCCTCCTATATAAATGTTAATAAAAGTTAAAAAAAAATCTGAAAACCTGTCGTAATTAATATGATTAATTATAATTTAATGTTTAATAATAAATTTATTGAAAAAAAAAAATAAAAATTTTATGCCGAAACCCGGGATCGAACCAGGGACCTTTAGATCTTCAGTCTAACGCTCTCCCAACTGAGCTATTTCGGCGTCTGATCATTAATGCCATTTTTACGTCATTTAAGGAAAAATGAACTTGTACAAATGATTTTACTATCAATTTATGAGAATGGTTTAAATGGTTTTCGTCGCTTAGAAACTAATCAAAATAATATGATTCATAAAAACTAAAATAATACAAATATTAGTAAATGGTTCATAATTGGAAATAAATCACTAACTTCCTTAAGTCTGTATGATCAGGAGAAAATATTCTGTTAATTTTTTATGTTGACGTCTGTAATTAATATTAGGACAATCGTATCTAGTAGATTGGTGATCAACTATATTATAATATTTTTGTTCGAAATCGTGTTCACAGACATAATAAAACCAATACATTCCTCGTTTCAATGAGAATCTATAAAATAATTAAATTTAAATATAATACATTTTGTCTTCGTTTTTTCGTCAGCTGATTTCGAGCGGTTTCATTTTCTTCAAACATTTTATCAATATGTTTTCTTTCTTTTAATATAATTTTTTCAAACCAACAAATTACATTTGAAAGTTCTACAGCAGGGGTAACCAATTAATATTTCCGGCGGGCCACATTAAGAATTCGGAAAATTCTCGCGGGCCATAAAAATTCAAAAGTACATAATATTTATTATAATATGCCAGTTGGTCAAAAATACTTTATTTCTAAAAAAAAAATATATACACTTATTAATTATTATGTAACTAAAACTAATGAAAATATAATTAAATTAAATAAATATATGAAACAATTATTAATTAATATTTTTAATGAGAAAAATGGCAGATCTTGCTTTCAACTAGCTGCTTTAAGTCGGGGTTATGGTTTGTGGTAGCTATCTTCATCATCATTTCAAGGTGTTCGTTGGTGAGTCGGGATCGGAATTTGTTTTTGATACAATTCATTTTTGAAAAAGCAGACTCACAGACGTATGTGGTGCCAAACATTGTACACATTTTCACTGTCAATAATTTCAACGTCGGGTATTTCTTTTCAGATACATATTTCAACCAAAATTCATCATATGTAGAATCAATTTCAGTTTTTGAATACTTTTCATTCTACAAATTTTTTAGGACATCATCTGATTGAAATTCAATTATTTCCATTTGAAGATGTGCTCTGTTGCATTTGAAAACGTTTTCTGCTTCGTTAATCCATTCACCATCAGGCTGCAAAGTAAAACTACTGTTCAATAATTGTACAACGTTTTTAATTTTTCTGAAATCAGCAAAGCGTCTTTCGAATTCAGTTTTTAAACTTTCCAAAAACTTCGTAAAATTTGTGATATCAATCTCGTGATTTTCATCAACAACTTTTTTCAAGTTAGGAAAATGTAAACGTTCATTACTAACATCTTGTAAAAAAAAGTCAATTTTTCTACAAAAACAATTTACCTCAGATACTAAATGGCAAATTAGTTTCTGATTACCTTGAAGTTTCAAGTTGAACGAATTTATGTGTTGAAATATATCTGTCAAAAACGCAATAGTTGCTATGTTACTGTTATCACTGATAAATTCGTGATAGTCTTTGGCAGACAAATATGTACTCTGAATTAAAAATAGTTCAATTTCATTCAGTAAGTTAAAAAACCTTTGCAAAACATTTCCTTTGCTCAGCCATCTCACACTATTATGAAGTAATAAATCGTCAAACTGAGTATCATTTTCTTGAAGAAGTGCCTTAAATAGTCTGTGCTGGAGTGAAGATTTTGCACGTATAAAATTAACAATACTCATTACTGTTTTCATAATTTTTTCCAAACACGGATCCAGTTTGCAGCAAAGGACGCTTTGATGAATGATACAATGGTACGATAAAAGATCAGAGTTGCATTTAGGGTCATTTCTTAATCTTTGAACAAAGCCTTGATGAGCGCCAATCAGTGCACCGTCGGTTGTAACAGAAATAATTTTATTTAAATTTAAATTTTCTGTTTCAAAATACAATACTACAGCATTGTACAAATCATTTCCTTTGCTGGTCCCTGATAACGGCAAAAGTGTCAATAACTCTTCGTAAAATGTCCCACTGATATTGCTCAAGTATCTCACGTGAATTATTAGCTGAGATGTATCTGTTATATCACTTGATTCATCCAAGGCTATAGAATAAAAATCAGCAGTAGATAGATCTTGTTTCAACTGATTGTGATTATTTTTGGCCAGTACTTCAGTATTTCTCGTGTTAGTGGATGCTGATATTGGGATATGACGAAAAGTTTCGACAATTTCCTTTTTATTTCCAAACAGAACATTTACAGATTGAAGCATACATTCTTTAACAATATCAGCATCTGTAAATGGCTTCATATGTTTACCGAGTATCCACGAAATTTGTAAAGATGCCTGTGCACATTTCTGTTGTTCAGTCATAGCTTGGCTCAAAATTTGAGTTGTCGATTTATATTTCATTTTTAGATTTTCAATTTTTGTTTTACGAAGGCCAGTACCCAATGGGAATTTTTCGGCAAATGACTTGTGTGTCTCATAATGACGTTTGATATTAAATACTTTCATAACAGCCACTGTTTGATTACAAATCAAACAAACAGGTAAGGCACCTACTCTATCTGGTAAAATAAAACAATATAAGTCCATCCATTCAGGACAAAACTGTCTATTTTCATTTTCTATTTTTCTTCTTTTTCTATCCATAGTCAAATTAAAACAAAGAATAATATATTATTTAATTACGAAAATTAATAAATAAAACGGAACGGACGAACAAAAATTACGTCGCAGCGGACACCACCGTCTCACCGATAACTGACGGACTGATGTGTTGTACGTATATTAATATATGTGACTTAACGAGTTGTCGACTTGTCGTAATAAAATTTCAAATAAATAATAAAACAGATAAGATATTTTTCACAGCTAGTATAATATTTGTTGCATCCGAAAAAACCTAATAATGCAGTAATAATGTACAAAGATAAGAAATTACCTGCAACATTTCAACTGCAACAGTCTCGCTTGATAATAAATACGTATTAAATTATTGGATTTTTTCTCAGTCTGCGGGCCGGTTAAAATGCATTCGCGGGCCGGATGCGGCCCGCGGGCCGTCATTTGGTGACCCCTGTTCTACAGGATCCATTGTTCGTTTTTCTAGTTGATTATAAAAAATATCGACATGAAGCATTAACGAATGAAACACTTTTAACCAAAATATAAATGTATGATAATTTAAATCCGACCCAAATCTCCAGCTTCGTTAATAGCTATAGTTTGATTAAATGTTGATTAGATAGGTAATTTCTTTCATACATTCGATTAAGGGCTCAAGATTTTCATACACGGTAATTACCACTCAACTTTTAAAATTCTATCTATTAATAGGTTCGAAGAACTCTGTGTTTAACAATTTTATCTAAAACTATGACCCATTGAAGACTGGTTTGAATGCAAAATTCAAAAAGGTATTATTTGCTGTACTGTATTCATTTTAAAAGCGAAACTTTGAAACGTAATAAATGAGAATATAATATGTATTTGATTATATTATTAATATTACGATAGGTACCTGCTATAGCAAAGCAAACAATATGAAATATATATGTGACGTTTGCGAACGGTCTAATTTCAATTGAACTATTCACCCAAGTGAACGATTCGAACTATTACACTAGTTCACTTTTAAATCATCCATCGTTAATTTTCATTAATTTTATCAAGCGACAAAATGTTAAATAATCTTGTTCGATGAACAATATTCATTGCGTTTCGTTCATTGATAAGAATTAATGGTATGTAAATTTCGGTGCGGCACGGATCACAATTTTAAAGTGTTCCCATGGGAAATGTCGTATACTCTCACGGATTTTCCTACGTCAAATCCATTACTATAACACGATAACGTACATATCGATAAAATATAATTTTTCGAAGGTTAAAGAACAAATAGCAACAAAAGGTATGCACGTTATTATTTTTTTCGAAACATAACTTATAATCTATAACATTATGTTAAGGAAATTCACTAATATTTATCTAATCGGTGTTGTTTATTTGTACAGGGCCATGCTGGATCTACTGGACCACAAGGTTTTAAAGGTGACGAAAGTTTTCTCTTAAGTAGTGTCCTCTCTAAACGAATTATATCTAGATTATACCTAACAATAATTATTTTATAAATATTTCCATGTAATCAAAAATATTATAAAAAATAAATAATACAATAGTTAAAAATATGACGAATCTATTATTTAACATTGACGTTTTCATATTAGTTACATAATAGCATATAAATCCAAAAATTATACTAAACATATATATCAAATTTATTTTGTACAAATTCAGAAAACAGACATACGCTGTTTATATGAGTTTAATCCATCATTCGTTTCATTTTATCTCAAACTGATATCCTATTAGCGTGACGCTTTCATATTTTTATAAAACTTTATGAACTACAGATTTAACTTAAAGTATTGAAAAGTATTATTAGCTCAATGCTCAAAACTTAAAATACAACTAATTTGTCGTTTTTTTAATTTTTATTTAATTTCACCCGTAATCAGGGCTGGAGAAAGAGTGGGGCAGAAAGGGTTAGAGCATTCGGGGTCCGTACGTTCGAGAGGGCCTTATTATACAAATTTTTTTATAATCTCATTTTCCGTAGTATGAGATGCGAGTTCGAATATTCTTATTGTACTAAAGTATGTACAAGTGATATGAATATCTTGGCCAAACAAAAACAAGTAAAAGGGGCTTGGAATAGATCAGTCCTGGAGCCCTTAAAAGTTCTCACCAGCCCTGCCGTAGTTAATGAAAACATGATTTTGAAATAAAAACTAAAATAATACATCGTCATAACACATATTTAAACGACTAATGAAATGTTGATCATTTTTTTTTTTAAGCCTTTTAATTTACTATCGTAATACTAAGTTTTCGTCAGAAATGTTTGATTTTTGAATTGAACATAATAAATTTAAGTAAAAAGCTCAGAAAATAGAAATTTTAGAATTTTAGCAGAATTCTAACAAAGATGTAATTTATAATTTTGTATTTGAACGGGAAATATTTTTCATTGAATTAAATTGTATGAAATTAAAAATTAAATTAAATTTCATTGTATCCAATTATAATTCAATATTATATTCTAAATTATATTATTAATTGTATTACAACTTATAATTATTATTTATTCATCAGAAATCGAATATTATAATTTTATATAAAACTCTATGGTCTTATTATAAACTATATATTATATTTTATTATTCATAATAATAATTTTATTTTACTTAAATATAAATATAACATAGTTAAGATATCATTATCGAAATAAAACAAAAGAACTTTTACAATAGGATTCAATTTAAAATGTACTGTTACTTTGTAATAGATTCATGTGTTAACGATTAAAGTATACACTTTGTTGTACCACAAAATTACCATGCAAGTGAAATCAGTGTATATAAAATTGTGAATTAATATCCATTGACTGAAATGTATGTAGGTGAACGAGGAGCACGAGGTTTTGATGGAACTCCAGGAATGCCAGGTGAAAATGCTCGCCCAGCGCCAAAAGGCGAAAAAGGTAATTAATACTAAAAAATATTTAACTTTATCGGTGTTATTTTTATTTAAATATTTATTTTTTTACGTACTTGAGTTCGTATTAAAAGTTAAAATGCAGTTTTTGTGCAATTTTATTTTTTATTTGAATTTTAAATTTTCCAATAGATTAACTTAGAGCACCTTTATTTATTTAATTATATTATGTAAATGATATATCTGAATAAATGTATTGCACTTAACTATTTTTATAATTTCAAAAATTATCACATGAGTACTTATCTTTATAAATTCTTATTTAAGGTGACACTGGAACGCCTGGACCTCCAGGGCCTCCCGGACCCGCCGTCATATCAGGAGTGAAAATTGATAAATGTAAGAAATATCTCTTGGGTTCTTATACGTAAATAATCTCTTAATATGAGTATCTCGTTACTAATGACAAGCAATATGTTGCGTCCAATCACTACACATTTCATCGAATCGTATGATCCTTGATTGACGAATTATAACGAAAAATTTGTTGGACAACCATTGAAATCAGCATTCCTCATAGGTCTCTTGGACAGTACAAAATATCGACGGAATCTCCATCGGTGGTTTGTTTCTGCATATGATCACAGTTGAATCATGACAAATTAAATCGTAGGGAGGGTAACTATGTAAAGTTCAATTAATCAGAAATTCGATTTAACTAGATAAATAATTATCACCTTAAAATACGTTTCTCGGGATCATAATTATATTTCAAGATGTCAAGGATTTCCAACAATCAAAGTAATTGGAGTCATCTGACAGTATAATACCAATCGCAATAAAGAACAAACTTTTTCCCCTCGACATGCGTGCTGTTGAGAAATTAGTTAAAGTTTGACTGTACCCTTTATTTGTTATGCTCAAACAAATGAGTTATATTTAATACTGTTAAACGATAACAATAACCAACAATGAAATTTACATGTATCGAATACAAACAGATTAAATACCATTAAGTTTTAGAGTACATAAATTAGTAAATCTTGCTTACGGATAGAAATACATTTTTAAATTTAATACTCGGGAATATTTTATCAGGTTTACATGTTTTGTGCAGTGTAATTTTATTATTATTCCTTTATATGCGAACAAACGCTGTTTTACAGATACATTAAAGTTGGTTTGATTTTTTTATGACTTGAAATATTTGCTCCTAATCAATACATAATTTATTTACGGTATAATGTTTTATTATATTATATAGCAGACACAACAGTTGTAAAAACAGTGAAAGGTGATAAGGGCGTGAAAGGAGATCGTGGAGAAAAGGGAACGGTTGGTAATCTGGGTCCAGGAGGAAACCCTGTAAGTATGATTTATTATCTATTTTTTATTCCAACTAAAATGCACCCGTCACGTTTATATAGAAAGGGTATCTAACCCAATAATACATAGTATTTATTCCATTACACTTCTTTAATCGTAAAAAAAAGTGAAAAAAATATATTCTTCGTTAGCGATTATATAATATAGGTAGTTTTTAGTTTCGACTGTAAATAAAAACAATAGGTGTATTGTAGGTACATAATAATAAATGATAATAGTAATATTGTAGGCCAGACAAAACCATTTTCAACAGGAAGAGCACATGATCGTAAATTGGTGGTTTTGCTCATGAGCGTTCCCAGGGGAGGGATATACGGGGCACTTTCCCCTCCTAGAGTTTTAATTTTTTTTCCAAAGCATTATCTGTAATGCACTCATTTACTAAACATAGTTTACTTTAATATAATATATATATATATATATAGGTATATAGGTATATTATATTTACATAAAAGAAAACTATCTTTAATAATAATTGGATTATTTTATCTTAGAGGAAAAGGAATAATTTATGAATAAAATGTAAATATAAATGTATAAAAAAATCTTCATTTATTTTTTAAATTAATTTCCCCTCCCCTCCTAAAAAAAAATTTGGGACGCCCATGATTTTACCATGTCAACACATACAATAGAATTTCGTACGGTTAAAATACCGTACCATCTGAACAGTACAACCGAATGACACCAAATCGGGAAAATATACGATACGGTAAAAATATCGAATCGAACGGGCTAATCACCAAAAAAGAAACAGCATTTAAACTATGTACAGTTGAATACTTCTAAAAGTGTGGACGGCATTATAATATATATATTGTGTTTCATTTATACATCGATACCTATTCATGGAATACAACGACAAACGAGAGTCCAAAATCTAAAAATGAATAAATTATTATTCATTCGGCATTATGAGCAATACAGCGCTCTGACTAAATATCTAAACTATTGCAGCGTCTCATTGTGCGAAATGTAATTTACACGAAAACATAACGTACAGCAGTTTAAAGTGTTACGTGCTTGCAGCGCGTTTGCATAAAATACTAGGGCAGTGGTTTCCAACTGGTGTGCCGCGATCGCCCTTGAAGTGTGCCGCAATAAATCCAAAAATTATTTTATAAGTACGTATTTACCAGCTTACGAATGATATTCGGTAAAAACTGATCGAACTAATCGTAGATACATATAAAATATTATTTATTGTAAGTATGCCCGTCGCAGTTGTCTCGAACGATCGATTGTATTAATATATAGTATTTCCCAGTAAATAACCCTCAAGGTAGATTGTAAACAGTGTAAGTCTAGTCAAAAGCGTACCCAGGAATTTTTTATGGGAAAGGTCTAATATTTTTATTTTATCTGTTCTATAATTATAATTATAGTTGAACTCAATATTAAAAAATTACTGTTAATATACTGTAGTATGGTTTATATATAATAGGTATATTATATCATTTATATACTTCGTATATTGAAAATAATGGAAAATTAAAATATATACTATTTACAATTAAATCGTTGAGTGTGTAGAAATTTCAATGGAGGGATAGGGTCCGGAGCCGAAACCCTCCTCCTATGGTACGCCCTTAAGTTAAGTTCATATAATGTATATGGATTGGTGTGCCGCGAATATATTTTTGTAGATGAAGTGTGCCGCATTGTTAAACATTTTAGAAACCACTGTACTAGGGTGTTATTTTATTTTAGAAAATTACTGCCTCCCCCCTCCCGTAAATATCAGTAACATTAATTAACCGTGATCTACCTGCGATTATAGGGTCCACCCGGTTTGACGGGTCCCAAAGGTGAACGCGGAGAGCCCGGTTTACCAGCACCCGTGGTATCTGCCGCCGATCTAGGAGCACATATCAAAGGAGATAAAGGTAGGTGTACGAAATCTTACGATTCCGATCTTTTCGCTAAAACTAACCTCATGCACGCCGTATACATGAACCCCGAAAACGAACACCATTGCGCGTCCGGTCGCGCGCGCATAATGTCACTGTTATGCGTTCCGCACGTTCACGCACCCCCGGTAAGGAAAACAAATGGGATATCATACGTGACGCGCCGTATCCGAACTGCTCGGACTTTGAGTACGCGATGAAAAATTAATCCGCCCCGTAAACATTAATAATCCTCCGATAATCTACACTCAATGTACTCGTACAATACTCGGAACAACATCGGCGCGGAACAAGACGATAAATATTGATTATTTCTTTACGTCGCGCGATGGTGTATTACATTATTGTTATTGTTCCCCGCGGAAATCGTCGAGCACCATCGTAATCGTACTCGTACCCATTTCCGATCACGGGACGGGAAAAAAGTCCGGTTTTAAGAACGTTTTAAGATTGAATAGTGCTTATAAAATATTTTGTCCAGTCCGTTTTCGTACACTAATTGATAATGCGTACAGATACAATACAGCCGAGTGAAAAGAAAAACATAAAGGTTATTCTTTTTTTTTTGTTTTCATTTTATCGAAAAAATTCTTACATAAATTATTATACTTCAACGATTACAAACTAAACAAGAATAACAATTATTTACAGCATTGAATGTGAAAAGCTTGTAGTCTTAATTAAAGTTATTCCTGACCCGTAAAAAACTCGGTCTTTGAAATCGAATTTTACTGTAATTTACATTCGACTTGTATTCGGAATTAGACTTTGCAATGCATTTAATACACTTATATTTATTACCTAACAAGACGATTTACCCATGGAATAAATACATGAATTCAATCTTAAAATGCATATATTTTTGAATAAAAATTAAACCCCTATTTGACCGTACAATGAAATTATTGTAGTATACAAAAAGTATTTAATATATATATATATATATTATTTATTTTATTTATTCACAAAATATTTAAAACGGTATTCGATGAAATCAATTTCTCAATGAGATATTAAAATTATAAAAATCTAAATTTATCCAAAAACATTATAATTAATTTGAACTACAAAGATTATTTGATTATAACTTTAATGGAAAGTATTAGTTAATACAGTTAAACGAATAACTACTCTTGAAGCCGTAATTAATGTTATGTTTTTATACGAAACATTTAAAATACTTTGAACATGTATAATAATATAGTAAACAAATTTTTATTCGTTAAATTGTTTATGTGAATATAATATGGTTTTCTTCGATTTCAAAACTAGCATCTGTTCATCCAATAAATTACTATTGATTTATTGATTCTAATTTATAATAGTTTTTTATGAAGTATTTTATTGAAAAATATTTTTTCTATAATTAACATACTAATTTTTTTTCAACTGCATATTTTCAATAAAAATATTAATTTTAATGAACACTTTTAGGTGAAATGGGAAAACGAGGTAGACGTGGAAAGCCAGGTAAATTACTGACCATTTTCTTTTACTTTACTACGCAACTTATTGTTCTAAATTGAACATTTATTTATAGGTCCTGTCGGTCCACCTGGTCCTCCTGGTGATATTGGATTACCTGGTCTACGAGAAGGTTTAAAAACAATAATATAATATTGAGTTGGTGTTCTACGGAGAATCATTTATTTAAAGTCGTGTGATTAATGTGTAAATTCAATTATAATAACATTCTACTTTCAATAAGTAAATCCTCATGAGGCACCATTATTTTTCTGTACGTGAAACAGAATTTAAAAATTCAAAACTAATTTTATTTTGTGTGGTTAAAATGCTACATTGCAACGTGCAGGAAGATGTAAGTATCGTATTTTCAATTTTCCAACCCATTATTATAATTATATTGTGCACGTAGATTTTGTTAATATTGAAACACAATTTTTTTTATAATCAAAATACGTACCATTGTTTTTAAACAATACGATTTCATGAGCATATATTTATTTATCCGATTTGTATATCAAACTTGTGCGGTTTTCCAGGGCTTGCCAGGTAAAGCAGGAGGTCTAAAAGGAGAAAAGGGAGAACGAGGAGAATCGGTGGTAAGTTAATTATAATTGAGATATTATTCATATAGTACAATGGAGGAATGAAAAGACGGTCGAATACTGTTATAAACGTTTGATAATACATGGTTTTCCCGCAGAAAGGCGACAAAGGAGAACCCGGAAAAGATGGCTTGCCAGGTACAGGAGGTACCTATTTGCCAGTTCCCGGACCTCCGGGTCCACCGGTAAGTGAATTTATTTTAGCCCGGCACGTGTGTCCATACATATACTCGTGTACTTCATGATATACTCGTAAAATATTTATCTTTTACTAAAACTTCAATTATGTACGTTCTAGGGTATTCCCGGCCTGTCGATGGAAGGTCAAAAGGGCGAACCTGGAGAACCCGGGTTTTCTTCATCGCCTCTGCGAAGTAATAACAATTAATGTTAACTGTTTTTTTTTAACGTTTTCTCACACTTTAATTACTTACGCGTATTTTAGGTGAGATGAACAACGACGCGGTCGCCGTACCAGGAGCGTTGACTTTCCCCAACAAAAAGTCGATGATTAATGTAAGTCAATAGACCCAGTGACTTACACAAGAATAAAGTTCTATAGTGGTCTCGACTATTCTCAAAATGTTTCCCCCCTCCAAAAAGCATCGGTGTTGATAATTTTTCGGCTTACTTTAGCATCAACCCGTTGTAAAAATTTTAACCAAAAATTACAACCCTGCGTACAATGGGGTAAAAAAATCATTGTTCTTATCCATATTGATATGAGTCTTCGATCACTTCAGTATATGTAGTGCGCATAAGAAACCGATTTAATTATACGCACGTGTTTAGGTAACGGACAGAACTCAAGTGGGCACGATCGCGTTTGTCATCGAAGAAGAGGCGCTTTTGGTACGCGTAGCCCGCGGCTGGCAGTACATTTCCGTGAGTCTACATCATCAGTATTACGGTCAAGCACGTATTTAAATTTCATGGCATATGGCCCCTCTACAATCCAACATTTTTTCGTACCTTTACATCAGTCGTACCATTTTTAAACGAAAACAAAACACTGTCGATTTGAAATTTCATTAAGAATTACATTAATTTTTTTTAAACGTTCTCGTATTGGATGTAGAAAATAATTTTTGTTTAAAATAATGAAATAATAAAAAAATTAATTAAAATTAAAATTAGTTAATGATTAATACTCAAAAGTTTAAATTTATTAGATTTTTTTTAAATTCTCTCTATAAAAAAATTATGTCTACGTGCCGTAAAACCACCGATTTCCTATATATGATTAATATCGTTGTACTTTTATATTAAATTAGTTGGGTTCGCTGATCCCAACCGGAACCGATCCTGCTCCAACGAACGCTCCGATGCCGACTAGAGCGCCATTGGAATCGTCGAATCTCGTACACAATCACCCAGCCAAAGACAGCACGATGGTAATTCGATTAATCAATTACTGTTAACTTTCAGCAATAATATTTTTAGCGCTTAAAAGAGTTAAAAATAAAGTTGGTTACGATTTTTCATTCGTTGTTTCGACCAACTGTAGTAAAAACGGAATATGTCTTGCCATTAATCATCCGTTACTCGCGTAAAATTATGCGCAGCGTTAAACACAAAATCTTAAAAACGGATAATTTTTTCTAATTCCAAACATCTAATTCTTTTTTTATGATTTTTTTTTTTTTTCAATGGGAGAAAATATATCTGATCACGCGTGACAGTTTAAAGTGCAAAGCTCAATTCGACCACACCCTTTGCATCTAACTGCCTGTCACCGTATTCAGCCGGCACTGACTTTAACACGTTTCCATTAGAATTAGTAAATAATCAAATAATATAAATATTTTATTTGACATAGCCTATATATTTATATGTATATATGTATACGTTATTTATGATTTAAAATATTAACTATCGTCATTTTGATTGTTTCAGTGGCATCCTAAGATGGTAAGTATAAAATCGTTGCATGGTTTTTATGGGCTTTTTAAACGTCGGTCGCTACTATATTCGATATTGTTTTCGGGATTTCCTAACTTGGCAATAATATAAAGTCGAACCTCTAAAGAAACTCTTGAAACAATTAATTTTTCCATTAAATCAAGACATTTTCGTAAAAAAAAAAAAAAAAATTTCTATTTAACAATTGTAATTTTTAGAGTACACACTAACATAATAAACTAAGGTAAAACATATGACGAGTTGATGATAATGACATACATCATAATTAACCTAAACCAACATATTATTTATTATATATAACTGCACAATATCATTATGAACATTATTATTTTAAATTATTATTACCAGTACTTGGAGTTTATGACACTAAAAAGTACTGAAATATGTGTTATAATATGCATTAAAAATATCAAAAAATAGCGAAAAAAAAATTTAGTAATAAATTACTAAAATAAAATATAATAAAATATAATATAATATAACATAATATAATTATTATTATAATTATAATATAATAATTATAATATAATATAATATAATAATATAATATAAAAAATAAAATATAACGAGTAATAAAATACTGGTTCGATTGCTATCGATTTGAGGTAAAATGTTTTAAAGTTATTTACGGTGAAATACTTGTGACTTTATTGTTTATTAATGCTAAATAAAACCGAAATTACAAAATATAAATTTAAATATACGATATATTAGTATTGCGTATTCAGTTTGAACTATAGAGTATAAGGCATAGGGTATAGGGTGCTTCCAAATTTTTAGAAAACGATAAAGGGTGCTGTGAGTCAAAAAAAGTTGGGAACCCCTGAATTAGTAAACGCTATAAAATCCGAGCCATGATTATTACACATAAAATTAAATATCATATTACTCGTTTGCTTTTCGTACGAGTTTTTAAGGGAAGGGAAAATGATTTTAACGGAATATCTGTTTTACGGACTTCTTCGAAACAAACCGTGTCAAGTTCGTGAAACAGATGTCGTCCGACCGTATATGATATGTTATACAACACACACGTATTTTACACGCATGATTGTTCGGCAACAGTTGCGGATCGCGGCGCTAAACGAACCGTACTCGGGTAACATGCACGGTGTCCAAAGCGTGGACTACTCCTGTTATCGTCAGTCCCAGAGGGCCGGGCTGCACGGGGCATTCAAAGCATTCCTGTCGTCGCGGCTCAACAATTTGAAAACGATCGTGCACGAGTCCGACAGGGACTTGCCCGTGGTCAACATCAAAGGGGACGTGTTGTTCAACTCCTGGAACGACATATTCACCGAAAACGGCGCCTTTATATCACAACAGCCCAGGATATACAGTTTCAGCGGCAAAAACGTGCTCGCCGATTTCTCATGGTAAGGCATTGCGCGGTCGAGCGGACGATGAACTGATAATTATTTTTCGAAAAACTCGATTCGTCGCGATTCGAGGGATCGGGCCTTCGCTGCTATTTAGCCTCCCAGTCTGAAAAATAAAAATAGTACATCCTTTGTTGATCGCGAAAAACGCTTGTTAAATTCTATGGTTTTGTTGTTCGGAAAAAAAAGTGATGAAAGTTGTCTCAACATTCTGAACGAGTAATTAGTGTTTCAAAACTTGTTGGGTAGAATAGCGGTGGATGTATAAAATTTTAAGTAAGAGTAAAATACCATTTCTCTTCGCTCATAATAGAGTCAGATATTATTTAAAAATAAAACATATCGTTGTAACTAGAGAAGAGCATTTGTAGTATTTGCATATTTGTTTTGCACAATTGCGAAAATAACGCAGTACGAAACAAATACGTTTCATGCTTTCACAAAGCAAGTCTTGGAATTTATTTCTTATATAAATGCATATTTCGAGTTCTGTTGTTCTTAGAACATATTTCTTCCGTTTAATACTTTTAGATGCATATTTTAAATAATTTATCACATTATCAATATTTTTCCGTCGACGTTTTTATTCCATCTAATTTACGACCAAAATATTGTTTAGTTAATTAATTATTAGCAAACGCATTTTTTCCTTAGAAAAATGTCTCAAGGGTAGCCGATTAGATTCAATTTATTTATAAGAAGTAAACGCGTTGTCTATATCATGTATATCATTGCACTGAATTCTACCAATCGTTGTTTGTTAATGATTTAATATTTTAGCCTTTAGTGTTAGATCTGTTGCTTGTATATGTGCGTATATTCGTGATTAGTGTTAACATTTCATCTTTGTGTAATTTTTTAACATTAAAATGCCGAAATATGAAAAGTCTTTTAACAGTCAGAGCTATTTATCGGAATTTGGTGTCGATGAGTTATCGATTGACGGTAAATTCTTATACTAGTCAGTATTGTGACATTAAAATAGGATGTGAAGTACAATTCAATGTTACGCAACATTTAAACGATTTTTTAAATAAATCGATAAAAATATATATACAAGCGAATACTTACAGTGTTTGCATATTTAGTACTTTTTTAGATATATAAGTCTTCTGCCCTAGTTGAAACATAAACAATACGTTGTTCGCTTCGCTTAATCTAAAATGTATTATGTGGATATGTAAGGTTAGAGGTGGATATTGATTGTTTTATATTAACAGTTTTGGTAGCTCGCCCTATTCCAGAATTGTAATCCTAGTTGTGCTCATGATAAATGCACACATTTTTACAATAGATTTCAATCTTACCCTATTATCGTTTTATGAACATCTTAATAACTCCATTGGTAGAATTTCTCATCGGAAAAAAACTGTTTGTTTGAAACCTTGAGAGCCTTGGGCAGGTTAAATATTTGAAACATTCTGAACTCTCTAATGTTCTGTTATGAAATGATAAACAGGCGATTGCGTTATAATTTCGGTGAATTATTTTTCTTATTCATAATTTCACGTCATTTTAAAATATACAAACAATATCAGTTCAAACAATGATTGACTCACAATAGGTCAGTAGATGTTATTTATTATCTGAATATAATATGTATCTGTATATTATATTTCATTATCGCACTTGATTTTCAGTAGCGAACACGTATTATAATAATATATACTCAATTAACATCGAAACATGCACGGTCGTTAGCAACCGTTGACGTACAGCCCAAACAATATGAAGTCTAAAGTGGTTGTCTACCATCTACTCGACGAAACAATCGATATTCAACGAAGATACTTTTGTAGAACTTTAAGAACTTCGTTTTACTCATATACTGAATGCACACGACGTTATTTTTGGTTCTTGATATACTTTTCGCGGTTCACTCGTATGCGTCACAAAATAGTGTAGTCCATAAATTACATACCTACATAGGTGAATATAAATTTACGAACCGCTGGCCCGTGTTGTACTGCTATTTATTCCATCATTTACGTTCGCGTTCTATTTTTTGTTTTCAAAAACCGCGAAATAAAACTGAAATATTTAATAACCTATTATGCGTATAACTTCACGTTTAAAAATTTTAATTACTCATATTATATACACGACTACATAATATTGTGTACGATCTCAAGTTTTGTATCGTACAACGGGCAACCAGCATATTAAATATTCGAGTTTCACCCGTCGAAACAAATTATTATTATTTTTTTCGTTCATTTTCTGTACACCGAAGACGCTCTCACGACCACTGTATATTAAAAATCTGTCCTTGGAAATGTTTAAAAAACAATCTGTTTTAAAAGAACGATTCCATTGTCGTAATTTTTCATTCTCTCAACGTACAACCTTTAAAAATGAGAAACTATTGTCTCTTTGTCATCGCTAATACACATACACACACACACGCGCGTATACACACACACACACACAGACACACACATACATGTATATTGTAAAAAGTCATTGAACACACACATTTTAAGCGAGCCAATATAAAAACAGAATAAACTGTCAGTGGTAGATAATACACAGAAGAAAAAATTTTTTTTTAGACGAAAAGTCTATCAACCAGAAATCACCAGCTGAGTAATTTTTTTTTTTTTTTTTTGCCTTCTATTATCATACATAATATAACGTTATTAAAATTCGTATTTTTACCTGATCAGCAGTCAACCAAACATTTTTATTTTAAACAGTTCTTGCAGTTATCGTATTGCGTGGGTTTTCTGTTTTCGACTAGTATACACATCTTTAGTGATACAAGTAATTTTTTTAACTAAATATTCTACCTACGCCAACAATAATAAAGTAAAAAACAATACGAGGTAGTTATTGAAGTGTAATTTGTTTCATAAACACTTAAAAGTTTTTGGCAATATTATAAATGAAAATTGCTTCGTTACATTAACCAACTACAAAATTTGAAAACAATATATATCTAGTGAATAGGAAAAACCTGTTTATAGTAATTCTGATTTTGAATTTATTTTCGCAGCATATATAGCCTCTACGAAAAAAAACCAGTGGCATTATTGGGGAATGCGAGGGATTTCATATAATGTGGTAGCATATTGATAAGTTGAAACCCAATATACTTCCATATTTGTGATTTGAGATAGAACCATTGTACAGTGTTAAGGGTTGTTGTATGATGGGTAGTTTTTTCAACACTCGACATTACGATCCTAAAGGGCGCGGTATAAAGTCGAAAATAATAATAACAATAATTTCAATTTAATATACAAAAATTTTATATTTAGAAATAAATAAATGAACGCTTGGCCTGGAAAATTATTTTATTTTTAACGTACGACGGGTCTCGAATTAAGAATTCATCGTCAGATACATATAAAAACGATAAAATAAGAGTTCCGATCTTATTATACTCCGAGCTGAACGTTTATTTATTTCTTAACTATTTATTTACCTACTGATTTACGAGTGTTGAACGTTTACCGATTTTCATTCGGTTTCTTATGATTACATCGATCAATATTCGTTATTTGTGCAGTAATGTAATAACATCGTGTCGCACGTTTCAGGCCTCAAAAAACCATTTGGCACGGGTCCGACCCGTCAGGTTACAGCGCGGTGGATGGCAACTGCGACGCGTGGAACTCGGAAAGCGCGGATAAACGGGGCTTGGGTTCGTCGCTGGTGCCCAGACCCGGTGCGCCGGCCAAGCTGCTCGACCAGGAGACCGCGTACGACTGCCGTAACTTCTTCGTCGTCCTTTGCGTGGAGATCACGCCGCACTCGGGAGCGATGTTCTCGCGGAAACGCCGTAGCGGCGCCGGCAGGCACGAGGAGCCCATGAGCCGGCAGGAGTACGAGAGGCTCATCGACGACATCCGGGCTTGAATGGGCTCGGCAACGCCCTCGGGGCAGCGGTTCTCGACCCTTCACGGCGCTCTGTAGAATAAAAAAATCCTTGAAAAATCACCCAAACGGACGCGTATTGTTTCAATTATTTCCACGCTCGAATTTTGCTTCACCTGAAAGACCACGATGTGTCCACACGGGTCAAGAAATCGCTGCTTCAAAGGATACCACACCTTATCCATGTACCCCCTCACATCCTGATATCGCTACAAAAAGCTCGGGGACATTATTACCTAACGATTCTAATAGTAAATCCGACTTTGTTTTTCTTCCGAACAGAATGGTTTCGATATCTTTCCACGCTAAAATAACCACGTAACCACGACCCGTCCGAACGATAGTTATTCAAATAATATCTTAGTAATTATTCAAAATTCCCGTGACGTGCGTGATGCTTTCCGAAAATTTTACTCGAAGCAGAATTCTATCGAATTCCCTAGTTTTTAACGCAAACTTGTTTTTTTCTTTTCTATCACGATGTGTTTCTTTTTCTATAATTCTCGAACACTAATAAGTTTTCAATATACCTATGTATATGGTGTAGAATTTTCGTCTGTGCTGCACAAATCAATTGTAGAATAGATAATATCGAAACGACAATATTGTTTACATTATCATTTAATAAGCATATCATTTTTTTTTTTTTTTTTTACATAAGGCAACGTTTCCGGCCACGGTATGTAATATCGTATTAACGTTGATATAATAAACAGCATTCGATACGACAATTATTATATTAAATCAAAAAAAAAAAAAAAAAAATAATACAAATGATTAGCGTTCATATTTATACTAAGATATTATTACATTTAAGTAATATTATTTTAAACATTTAGTTTATTGCTATAAATATTGTTTTATATTTATGTGTTCAAAGAGTGTCAATACTTTAATTCTTAAACGTATGGTTGTACATTTATTTTCAATATTACCATACTATTTTATACGATACACATTGTGTATAAGGTTCACGTAAAACCTAATCATTTGTACTACATTCATAAAATATACCGATTTTATAAAAATAATTTTGTACATTGTAAATATATAGCCTTAAAGGAATTTAATGTTAATTTTAATAATTTGATATTTAACTCATATTACATAAGCTTGTGTTAGTTTAACATACATTTAACCTCGGTACTTATTAAACTTCAGTTAAAATAAGTAATAAAAATGTTCAATTGATTATGAAATAGCAAAGCTTTAAAATGCGTTTTAGTTCAATACATAAATAATTGTATCAACTTAAACTTTACTGTTAACGTTTATTTATTTTTAATATATATACTAACATATAAAAATAATTTACATGCAAATAGTATAATACGTTTCCATATAGTACACAGATTATCTTAAATACATTATTTTCGAATAGAATTCATCCATTATTTTATAAATATGAAATTCTTCTGAAATTGATTAAGAGTATATTAGTATTTTATTTAATTGACGAACATTTTATAGGTATAGGAAATAAGTACTATATGATAATGTAATAATACATATTTGTAGGTGTTTATACGCATGTACAATTTCTTTAAACGTTGATCCAAAGAATATTTGATAAATATGTTTTTATTTTTTTTTGTGCTACGTTCCCTAACTTGTGTATATAAATGGTATTTATTTTAAGTAAAAATTAATGAATACAACAGTTTCCGTGAATTCTATTTCTAAAATAATAACACGATTAAATGAGCATTGTTTCAATAAATTCATATCACATTAGATGTTTAATAAACGGATTTAAGATCGTACTGTTGTTGAACAAGACAAAAATAATTACAATTAATAGACAATTATTATTGTTAAATTTAATGTTTATAAAATTATTACACTTACATGATCAACTGTCAAAAATATTTAATTGTTTTAGTATTAAAATAAGATTCAGGAACTGAGCGAATATATTATGTAAAAAAAAAGAAAAAAATCTTCAAATAAGATATTTATATTGAATACTTTAATTGAATAAGAATAGTAATCAGTTAGTAGTATTTGCTTTAAATATGCATCAGTTATTGTATGAATTGTATACATACTTGAATTGTATTTACTACGTTTTAAATTTGAATTGATTTTATGTTCTTAATGCCACATGAGTATTTACAACTTTAGATGGTAGAAATGTAAATCGCGTCATTATATTCAGTATTATAGTAATTAGAATATTGTATGAGATATATTGAAACATATTATGTTATATTTTAATGTATTTCACATGATTTTTTTTTTTTTACCGACCTTAAAGTTTGTAATTTTACCCATTATGAACTATGTTAAGCATTTACCATTTAAATTATAATAATATGCATAATTAGTCACAATATTATATAGTTATTAAATTTGTAAAAAAATAAAAATAATAATAAAAAGCAGCTATTATATTGTCATAACCGTATTTTAAATTTACTATACATATATATAAGGTTGTCCTTATTTTTTAATTTACGAACTTTTGATTCCGCACCCCTCATTTTGTTCATTAATATAAAAAAGTTATTTGATTTAAATTTGGTCATGATTACTGACCTTTTTTACGCCCCCCAAAAGGGTTGAACAATTGCCAAAAATTTCTTTGGTTTGTGGTTTTTTGAGTATAACCAATAAACTATTGAACTTATCGTAAAAATCTACATAACTTTAACTATCAAGATTTAAATTTTTAATAAAAATATATAGAGTTTAATTTATTTAAAAAAATTTCTTATGGTTTTCTAAGTATATTAGAGTAAGGGTTGATGATACGACCAAATATACTGCATAAGAATGACAGAAAATTAAATTTTCTAAAAAAAAGTTAATAAATATAAATTGTATTGGATTAATTGTTTTATCGAGATAGCCGAGTAAATGTAAGAAAATTAAAAATATATATAGAATATATGAGTATATACAAAACCTTATTTATAGAATATTATATTTTAATAAAAAAAGTAATGACTAAATTTTTCGTAAATTCTTCAATTTTCAAGAAAAATAATAAAATATAAAACATTTCATTTTTTTGGTGAAATTGTTTTTTTTTTAAACATATTTTACAAACGATTAAAGATAAGATGAAATATATAATATATAAGTTATATGAAATTTAATACGTGTCTCAAAGCACTCAAAGTTGCTTATTTACGTCTATAATCACATTATAATTACATAATTAATAATTATGTATTTATTAATTATTATGTATTATCTATAATTATTAATTATAGATTAAATAGAAGACATAAATAAACGATTACGACACTTGTCAAAAATATAAATTTAAAATATGATATGAATGATATATGTTTCCATATTTATTTTATTTACTTGTGAATTATATAAAAATCATTATATTATTAGAGTTCTGCGTACGACAGATGCGCGGTGCACACGCAGTGTAATTCGATGCATTGTTGTATGCAACGATTTAAAACGCATTCACTAGTTCTGTTAATTTCTTTGGCTACCACATAAAAGGCATGTACAAGCACCAAGGTAAGTATAAAAATAGTTCATAACGCGTCGGAGTGTAAAACAATAACGTAAAATTATCACGATTTGAAGATTTAACGAAGTGTGCCGTGAGATATTGCTAACCGTTGCCCATACGTTCTACAAAAAATAAACATAATTCAACTCGGATGTTTTAAATAACTCACTCGACTAAATTGTTGTCGTATATTGCGTTACAAAAACATTAAGGCGCAAAAGAATGATTACGAAAATTCACAGGTACACGTGAATATAATAATAATAGTTCACGGTTACGCGTGATCATGATAATTCGCGAGTGAACGCGAACAACGCAATTGAATAGATGGAAAACTTTTATCAACGGGTAATTTTAACATCGAATCCTAATTTTACGTGAACACGTGAAATAAGGAACACGATAATTTGTCGTGTTAATTTGTCCGCGATATGTGGACGAAAATAATATTGCTCTTCTGAATTTATCGATCACAGTTCTCAAAATAAATAAAATGAAAACTATTCCGTTTTCGGTTCTTTGTTGAAAAAAAAAAAAAAGTACCGGCTCTTGTTATACTTGATTTTATTATACCTCATTTTATTATCGTCCAGCCGTTCAAGTATATTATTATTATTATTCTTATTATTGTGTTACAGTTATGAACGAACAATTATTTTACGATATAACCGCCAATCAACGTGACCCCAAGTATATTATATGCATCCAATCCGGAGTAGTAATATCGAAAATCACGGTCGTCATGTTTTCGACCGACGGAACGTTTCGCTGATGCATCGTAATAACGCACTATCGGCAGTGTGTTTGTTTTGTTATTATCATCGCTTTACTCCGGAGATAATACCATATCGATTCCAATTATCGTATATACTAGGAAAGACGTTTCCAACTAACACAACATTGTGATTAAAGGCGGAGTAAGGTATTTTCGTTGCATAGCCAATTTCGTGATATTATTGGTTGAACGTGTAACGTAATTCTGTAATACGTGATTGACTTGAAAATTACAGTGTTCCTTAAAATAACTGTATTTTAAATGATCAATGTAGTTTTTGAGTCAATCGTGTACTAAAGAAATACGTTAAATTTTCAACAATTAATATCACGAATTTACTTATGCCACTAAAATACTATACTTCAGCTCACATTTAGTATAGCACTTCAAAAGTTTGATCGTTTTAAATCAGATCCTATCCATCCAGAACGCGAAATTTGTACTGTTCTAGGTACAAAATAATATGATAATGAATCCTTGATTATTTATAAATAAAATAGCAATAACTAGGGCTGAGAATTTGTAAGAAAGTGCATTTTTTTTTTAGTGATTGTAAAACGTAGCTTCGTAAGTACATAATTTGAATTATGTAACTACGAATCCATTTATGGAACTTTTATTTTGCATTTTTTTGGCATTTTTCATGATTTTGAGTTTTTAGGTCATTTTTGTGCATTTATAGATCATATTTTCCTTTTTTAGTTAATTTTCTGGTATTTTTAATAAAATTCTAAAGACTAAAGTTATTACTAATAACTAAAAAGTTATGCTAAATAAAACCATTTTATTTTGTAACCTTTGTAAACAAAAATTCCTGTTTGGTTCTGTTTTTAATTTATCAATATAAAGGTTCCGGTTCTAATTATTGAAAAGGTACTGGTTTTTTTTTTGGTTAGGTTCTTGTTCCTCGATGCAATAACTATGCGTGGTGTACAGTTTTCGTTACAAACATAATAAATTGTAATTTTGTTTTAATGCCTACTATTATTTTTTATTTTAGTTAATTGTAAGCCTGGACATTAACGAGTCAACAAGTTATAAGTTAAGTTAAAAGTTAAGTTAATTTAACTTATTAACTTAACTTATTATATTACTGGTAAATTAACTTAACTTATTAAATTAACTTATTTCCTTACAAATTAACTTGAAATTAATGTATTATTTTTCATTTATCCCAATTAAGTTAATTTTGATTTTTAAGACCAGAAAAATATTTTTGTAAAATAACGCATTCAATAAATAATTCATGGAATTTGGAAAAATATAAAAATAAAAATTTGTAACAGATTCAGCTAATTCGTGTAGGATAAAGTCTAGCATGATATAACGACAAGACAAATGTCATAATTGTGTACTATAAGTAGATTAAATTACCACCGTATGGGGTAATTATCACATCATCGGCCACACTGGTTAACATTGTCATGAAAAATGACCGTAAATATAAGTAACAAAAATTGGTAAATATTATTATTGACTAAATCAGAGGTGTGCAATTGGTGGCCCGCAGTCCGCATTCGGCCTGCAAGGCTTTTTTATCTGGTTCGTACTATATTTTCAAATTACAACATACAATTTTAAAATATATTGTATTTTAATATTGTCTTTATTCTATCTTATCGATAAAATAATTTTTATCTGGCAAAGGCTAAAATATATCATTTTTCGTACTGCACACTCAAGGATTTTTCTATACTCCCCTTTCAGACGTTAACGGTAACGAATAACACAGTTAAAATACTTGGTATTTTAGATTTTGCCGATGATATATCTTGAAATTTTAAAAATATGTAAAATTATTTAATAAATAAATGTAAAATTAAAAACAAATACCATTATATAGAGAGTAGAACCACAACACTTTTTAATTTCATACTACACAAAGTGTACTGCACACAATTTTAGTCATTGTTATCTGGTATTAAACATTGTTAAATGGCTAAATGTTATATATACACATGTGTATACGTATAACTCTCAAACATAGCTGTTTGTACCGAACTATTTAACTATATTAGTTTCTTCGTATCATCCTTGTTGTACTATTGGATGCACAGCAGCTCTGCACGAATAAAGTTATTTTGTAAATCCGCAACTCCGCATGCACTGTAATTTCGCACGGTCAAAAAAATTAACGTACCGTAGCTCCGCATTCTAAAAATATTTTTAATATTTAAAATAATTTTTAACACCGAAAGTCCGCATGGCCATAAAATTGTGTCTTCTCATGACAAATTTATTAATTTATTTACTTCAGCACATCCAAATATTGCAGTTTTCATTAAAAACTTATTAATTATGCTGACGGATTCTTTCATACGAATTAATACTGCTAATAATAAAAAAAGTAGAATAGTTAGAACTAAACGAAAAACCAATATGGAATTTATAAATAAAAACATAGAATTATATAACGACGACCAATTGATGGAATACTGATTGTTTTTTTTTAAAGATGTACAAAAATGTATAAAAAAATTATGTACGGAGTTCAGGTGTAAAAAAAACCTTTTATGCAGAGTTTAGGTGATATATTACAAAATGGCCATAATGCATGCGCAGTTACAGTGAGCCGGTACTATCGTATATAATGAATTTATTATTTCAGTGTATATAAATGCTAATTAAAATTCTTATTTCGAATGACTTTTTTTTCCTATACTCTGGCCCGCTGAATTTTAATTTTTTAAAAATTGGCCCTCTAGTAACTTTTAGTTGCCCATCCCTGGACTAAATTATTCTTAATAATTATTATAGATACTCTATTATTATTAGAATTATTTCATAATCTTTGATATTATTAAATATTATTGAATAAGAGAAGAAATTTAATAGCTGATCAACATTTTGAGATGACTTTTTTATTGAGATTCAATAAGTATTTTGATAAACCTGTCTATTGTATTGTTTTATTTGTTTAAATTTTAATAAAATTAAAAAATATTATAAATTTATTTTAATGTTTTGTATCAACTGTATACATTTATTACCTATATAATTTTATAGTTACACTTTCAGCTGCAGTAATTATTTCTAGTTTTCATACTGTTGTGGAACATTAAAAATAATACTTTTTTATTAAATTATATTTATCATATGTGATTTGTATGAAAAACGAATATAAACAAACGATACATAAATTAACATAAATTTGACATTTAAGTTATTTAAAATAATCCCAATAAATAAATATATATTTTTCTACTCTAATTAGAGTCTAATAAGATTTTTCTGCATTTTCATTATCGTTAATTTTAAATAAGATCTGTTGTAAATTGTTAATATATATCATTTATATCAGCGCTTGATTTAAAATTTAAAGTTTAAACGTATTTATCTTTTTGTAATTAACTTAACTTATTAATTGAAGTTAAGTTAACGATATTTTTTAACTTAATTTTTAACTTAATTGATGTTATTCTCATGTGCATTGACTTAATTGAACATGAACTAAATTAACTTAGATTAACTGAGTTAAGAAATATCATTAACATACCCATTGGGTATGTACATTGTACAGGTTCCTATCGAATTATTACAGAAAAAGATATTAATATTTTTACAGACAACTCAAAGAAAGATCCAGTTTTATTCGGCATCAAAAGTATTACTGGTTGTTGTCAACATTTAGCTGGGAGTTACGACAATAACTATAACATCTATAATGTTGGAACGTATAGAAATCTCCAAAAGAGAGGTATTAATATTGATTCAGCCAAAAAAATGGAATGTTAATGTGCCTGTTCTACTACTACGAGTACTACACCTGAAACTTCATCCACTACCAGTATAACTTCAAAACCATCAATTACCACTCTTCGTTCTACTACTACGAGTACTACAACGAAACAGTCAACCAATATTAGTACAACTTCGAAACCATCAACTACAACTCTTCGTTCTAAAACTATTACCAACCATCCTATGAAACAACAATCTAATGATCCACAGTCATCAAATTCTAGTGGAACGCCAGGATCCATAGTAGGAGCAGAGGTAGAAGAGGCAGTGGTTACAGGAGTAGCTGGAATATCAAGTGTAGCAGGGGTAGCAGGAGTAGTTGGAGTAGCAGAAATAGAAACAGCAGCAGGAGGAGTTAGAGGAGTAGTACTGGCAGGTTCAGCTGTGATAGAAACTGTGACGGAGAGAGTAGTTGAAAAAGATATAGAGGAAAAAAAAAACGTCAAGAGAAAGAAGCAAAAACATGCAAAGAGGAAGAAGAGAAATAATGTCGAGAAGAAACAACAAGAAAACATCGGGAAGAAATAGAGAGAAAAAATCAAGAGGAAGAAGAGAAAAAACGTAAAGAAGGAGAAGTAAAAAAACACGAAGAAGAAGAAGAGAAAAAAATGCCGAGAAGAAATAATAAGAAAATGTCGAGAGGAAGAAGAGAAAAAAAATCGAGAAGAAACAGTAGAAAAATATCGGGAGGGAAAAGCAAAAAAACGTAGAGATAAAGAAGTGAAAAAACATCGAAAAGAAAAATAAGAGAAAAAATGCCGAGAAGAAGAAGTGAAAAAACACCAAGAAGAAGAAGAGAAAAAACGTCAAGAAGAAACAGCAAGAAAACATAGAGAGGAAGAATCGAAGAAACACCGTGAAGACGAAGAGCAAAAATGTCAAAAAAAAAATAGCAAGAAAATATCGAGAGGAAAAACAGAAAAAACGTAGAGAGAAAGAATCGGAAAAATACCAAGAACACCATCGAGAAGACGAAGAGAAAAAACGCCCAGAAGAAATAGCAAGAAAACTTCAATAGGAAAAGCAGAAAAACGTTGGAAAGAAGAAGAGCGCCGACAAAGAGAAGCACAAAAAAAGTTAGATGAGTTTTTAGAACAGTGGGTCGTAGTTAATAGTGAAGAATAATATTATAATTAAAAAATAATAATTAAAATATTATATTATATAATTATAATTATTATAAATTATAATTATATTATAATTAATAATAATACATCAACAATGTGCCTTTTTGGCACAGAATCTGGGTGTTGATTTAGTTATTGAACGTACCTGATTAAGTTTTTAAGAACAGTTTTAACGCTGTAAACAAACAAAATCAAATGCATTTTTTTTTTAAATACATTTTATTTTGCTATTCTGATTCAATTTGAGCATGCGACTCCATTAAATCATTATATTTGTTTTTTTATACGCATTTAGTTGTTGTTTCTTTGAAGGTTTTATGTACAATTTCAAATTTTATGCAGATCAATGTTCATACGTGATACGTTAAGTAATACGCAATATATTAAGTGGTAAATTACACTACATGAATTGCAAAACATGTCCGCATAAATATAAGCAAAATTAGTGAACACTCCTTTGAAGTGATTTTTTTCAAATTGAGAGTAAAAATTGTATATCCTAGTGTGACGTGCTATATTGTCAATGGTTTAATGTATGTTAAATGAGTTTGCACATATTTTTTGATTTAGTTAGACGTCTATGATGAGTCTAAGATGACGCAATTGATGAGTGAATCAGTAATATCATTGGAAATTATATATGGACGTAAATATATCGTCGGTCTAACAACCATTAATAAAATGTCAACGTATTTTTTTTTTTTTTTTTTTTTAATACTTCACTACGATAATACAAATAAAAAATATATATTGCTTGACTGACTATATCTAAAACATAATAGTAGGTAAGAACTGGTCTTCAGCATTAAACCAAATGTTGATAGTATAATTTAGGAAAATTAAAAATTTTAAGGTCTCTAGGATAGGTACATAGCATTTCATTAAAATAATTCAAAACTATAAAATATCTTAAGCTAAATAACAAATACTGTAAGATCCATTTCCCCAGCACCCCCATTTTCGAATTTCACGACCGATCCGGTCCCAATCGTTTATACCTAATTGTACCTCAAAAGTTTTTAAGTTATCCCTGTTTTACTTGGGAGGATACAAGTAAATCACACTTTTACTTTAGAAAATAAAAAAACATTGTGTGTAAAGTTTAATTTTGTCTATGATACATACATTAACTTAGTTTAAGTTATCCCTATTTACTATCATGTACATTTTCAACATTTCTTAAGTTCGTGTGGTTAAAATTTTTGAAATTTTGCGGAATTTTCCATTTTCCGCATCAGATGTATTTCCATGACTAGTGTAAGCTTAGGCATACATTTTGATTTGTTTTTTATCTTTTCCCAACATTGACTATAAAATACATTTTGCTTCACCAGAAAAATATTTAGTGATCGTGAACATACAAAAATAGAGGATTATCTCCTATTCAGTGAATAAAACATTATTAGAATAAACAAATGAAAACTTTTTTATTAATTATTAAACTTTTTTACATAATAAATTTTTTAGCATAAGTTTTTTTTTTTTTTGTTGTTGAAATTCTCCATTTCAGCTTTTCTCTTGTTTGTTCGATCTAAAAAATATAAACCAAACTAACAGATACTAATTCTCATGGATTATACAATATCATGAAAATATCTAATAAGAAAATCGTTAAAAATGTTAAAATTACAACTATACAAAAAAATATAAATTTTTATCGTAAAATATGAATATTCAAAGTGCATTAATATGGTATTTCCTGCATTTTCAAATATACATTTAAAAACCCGAGTGTCAAACTTGAATGGAGTATGTGAAAAAATATATATGTAGAGAAAATGTTCAATAGTGTCGTTAGAAATGTGATACCTTCATAAAAATAATGGATTAAGATACTGAACAATTTTCTCTTACTAGAGTTCGATGGTCCCTGGTATGCCCAAGGGACATCGACTGTTGGTATTGTTCTCACTTTTATAGGTCGGGCCATATACTTATTCAGTTCTGAACTCTGAAAATTAATCATATATTATTTTTATGCGCATATGCTAACTATATAAGAAAACATTTATATAGCAGTTACAATATGAATATATCATATAAATATACGTTATCATTTATTTGGATTTTACCTATTCTGTATCATAATTATACAAAAAAGAGTACCCAATAATGAACGTGCTAAATTAAACAAAATATGCACAAACTTAAAAAGTCTGGTCGAGTCACGGGATGTGTGCACTAAAAGCATATGATTTAATTTATTATTATCTAAATGTAACATTCATTTGGAAATATTGATTTTCATCAAAATAGCATAAAGCGTCAAACAAATATGGATAGTTTAATAAGTTCTTCATATAAGATTTTTTACAAGTTGAAATGCTAATACTTACTTGAATGGTTTAAACAAATAACAAATTCTTCTTATAATCACATAATTACAATCATTTTATTTACATGTATCATTCATTATTGACCACTTACGGCTAGTATTATTTCTTTTTTCTTTGTCTCCTTCGGTACAGCTGGTTCAACTGATTTTTTAGTGGCATTCTTTTTTTTTGGTTCCTCGGAAACCGGAATAACTGGCTTTTTTATGATCGGTGGGTATTTTGGCACGTGAGCTATGCGCCGTTTTCTTCTATCAGAAGTTGATTTTCTATTCATCTCATCCTGCGTTAAGCCTTCGATATCAGGTAGCTAAAATAAACATTTTATATCAAATGAAAACAATGAAAACTTAATGGAAAATATCAAAGATAATAGATAAAGGTCGTATTTATAGATTTCAAGATTAACACAAATATATTTTTTTGTTGAATTATACATTGCACTCTTGGTCAAATGATATATATTTGGGAAACATTGAAATAGTTAAATAGTACATAACAAAAGTAATAGTAATATATGTTAGATTCCCGAGTCTTTATCTACTTAGAATAGAGCAACTAAGAGTCAGATGGTTTTTGATTGAAATATTTAACAATGATAACTAACCAACCCCAGAATCATACCTCTATTACTTAAGTTTCTACAGTTATTTATTATCAGATCATCCTTATAAATAAATAAATAATACAAGTCCAATTAAATTAAGAGAGGTAGGTAAATATAAATTTACTAAAATTATTAATATTTTAAAATACTTATAAATACATCTACAATATGTAAAATAAAACAACGTAATATGACGTACTCGATGGACACTTTCAGGAATTGGTCCTATTCTAGGTTTTATTACAACACCTATAAAAAAAAAATAAAGTACATATAATTTTGTTTTATTGTGTCAGTATAATATTAAATATATCAAGCAATACATTTTTCAAAATGATTGTACAACCAGTTCTCAACTAATGTGTAAAATATAAAATAAATATTATAAAATTAATTGTTAAGGTTCTTCTTCAAAACTTAAAAAAAGTTTTAAAGAGTATATATACACTGTATAACTGACGAATATATTCCACACGAACATACTACAATTACGATTGTATAATAAGGTATAATATATTCTTGTAAAATAAATAATAAGCTTATAAATTCTACGTACTGATGTTATACTTGTTCTTTTGACAATCCATCTTGAATATGAATATGATTATTAAAATTAAATAGATTTAATTCTAATAATCAGCTAAAGAATTGCAGTCGATAAGTATAATAACTATTCAAATTGTTGGATAAATCCTGATGCGAGATAATTCAAAGGTAGAATCTAATGGTGTACTGTAAAAAATACGTTTGTTATATTTTATATGTAGCTAATAAACGAAAATCAACAAAAGGTTTTATTCGAGCCAAACTAAATATTTTGTATGTAATTTAAATATGCAATTAAATTTAGTATAACTAATAATAATAATCAAAATAATAAATATTACAATAACATTTTAATAATAAAAATAAATTTTTATTTTTGTATTTTTGTACACAATTTCGACTAAAAAAATTGTTCCGATCATCACAATGATCAGAAATATTTGACTTGAAGGATTGTCTAGTTCGTACTTAAAAATTTGTCATTTTATCAAACTTCAAATTTTTCGTTACAATTGTGAAAACTATTGAAAGGTTATACAAATTTTGGCAACATTTACGGCATACTGTTTTTTAAGGGAAATCGATTTCTTTCCCATCGTTACTCAAGAAATTATTATTGTAAAGACATAAAATGTACACGGAATCCTCATAATATCGTTTTCTAATGGTTGTATGTTTCAATAAATGTTTTATTCAAGTTATGATTGAAAATTAAAAATGTTATGTTTACTTACATTTTTTTCAATAATGGTAATAAAATAATTTTAATTTGATAAAAGTCTTGATAGCTAAATACAAAGTTCATCTTACGTACTAATAACTGAGTAAAGAAAAAATTTAGTCTTATATCCAAAAAGATTTATATTATTTGAATATTGAATTTTGACTAAATGATAAAAATCACAATGTTTCAACATCAGATATGTCAATATATTTCCATAAAACAGTATTAGGTCCATTTCCTCAGCACCCCCACTTTCAAATTTCGGATCCAATCCGATTCCAATCATTTGTACCTGGTTGTACCTCTACTCCCTTTGTTTCTACCTCAATAGTTTTTAAGTTATCCCTACTTGGGATAACTCTCTTAAAGATATCTCTACTTGGGAGGATACAAGTTAATACAATCACACTTTTACTTAAGAAAGTAAAAAAAAAAATTTGGGAGGGGTTTGAACCCCTAAAATCCCCCTTGTGTACGCGTCTGGCCAAAGGTGTAGTTTAACAGATAATTATTTGCATTTTTATTTATACATTTTTTTTATATATAAAAAATAATATAATACATATACAATATTATACATATATAATATTATATCATTATTACTGGGGTTTATTTTGATAACATAGTTATACAACAATTGAAGGATGGAAATTCAAAAAGTGATATTGCCAAAAACCAAAATGTTCACAAATCAAGGAAAACTTTAACATATTTCTGACGACTATAAAAACGCAGAATAAGTTTATTTATATGTAAAAAATAAAAAGTAAATGATTGACAGTGTCAAAATTAATCTAATTGTAAACATTGTTTTTAATGCTTTAAAAATGTCGTGTTAGACCAAAAAATTTTATTGCCAGCAATAATTTACGTAAATATAAATTTATAATAAATAGTATAAATAATAAAAAAAAATTTTGACAAAACTGTTTATTATAGAAAATATACGATAAAATATTTCAATAGAGTTCTAATAACAAAATAAATACCATTGGATAAATTTAATTAATAAGACACTAAAGGTACCTGTACACTGTAGATTTTTTCTCGTAGAGTTACCCTAGCTAGAGCTTTCTAGATTTAGTCTCGAAGTGTACACAACATATAGAGCGCTCTAGCGGTTGCCTCTCTAGGATCTAGGTAGACTAACTAGAGTAGATGAAAATCTACAATGTACATGGAGATAGACACTATAGCTAGATTAGTCTAGATCTATTTGTTCAGTTGAATAGACCAAATAGAGCACGTGGAAATATTTGAACAGTTTTTTCAATATTGTTTTGTTTTTTATAAATTTTCTTTTGCATTTATTTGTACAATGGCCGATGTTGTGTGGGACAAGCAAAAAACCTATAAACTAATTGATCTTCTTGAATCGTCTCCTGAACTGTGGAATTGTACACTGAAGGAATACAGAGACAGGCAACTAAAGGCAAAATGTATGGAAACAATTGCTCAAAAATTGGAAATTAGTTCTGCAGAAGTTAGTAGAAAGTTACACAATCTTCAGTGCCAAATGAATAGTGAACTACGAAAAATAAAAAATAAAAAGAGTGGAGCAGGTGCAGATGAGACCGTAAAAAGCTCTTGGGAGTTTTTCGATTCACTGAAATTCATGACTGGCATTTCTGAATGTATGAAGACTGTCGGCACAGTACCAAATGCATTAGTAAGTTACTTATTTTATATATTAAAATAGATTTATTACTTGGTAATGTACTGAATCGCTATCACATTTATTTTGAAATTAAAAACAAAAAATGGAAAAACTAATAGATAACTAATATAGAACTAATAATAGATTTTTATATAATATTATTATCGGACGGTGGCGACGTGATATCAATATTTATATTTATATTTTTTCTGGTACATACGTAATTGATAACTTATATTACAATATACGACGTTATATATACAATTTAGTATTTTTATTATTTAGCATATTATAATATTTAAAATTAAAATAATAATTACTATTAAATTTTTTGAGTATCTCATTGCCTATATTATATAATAAGTTCTGTTCTTCACTGTTAGATTCATATTAATCAAATATTAAATTTAGATCTATTTAAAAAAAAGACTTAAATCTAAACTTTAAAAAATTGAAATTATTTAGTTGTTTTTTTTTAACTTATATAAATATTACTTAAATATATTGATATTGCCATGTCAGTTCTCCTTCTGTGGACATAAAGTAAGTTTTGAACTTTTCACGTACTTCCTTAGCAGTAGAACTTGCATTTCTTTGTACATTGATTTGTTGCATTGAGTGTAATGAGTTTTGTGGAGTTCCTTCTTCTCTCCAACTACCAGGAATCAAACTACTTTGCTCTTCTCTATCAAATGTTCCGGGGGGGTGCGTAACTATAAGCTTTCCGAGATAGTAAATAATTGTGTAAACAACAAGTGGCAAGCACAATCTTTGTGGTTTTTTTCTGGATCCAACTCTATATGTTTCCTTAGTACACGAAAGCGAACAGAAAGCAAACCAAACGCGTTCTCCACAACTCTGCGAGCAAGAGAAATTCGATTTGGCCCGGGTTGGTTTCGAAAGGGAAACGGTTTCATTAAGTATGTTTTTAAAGGAAAAGCATCGTCAGCAACGATAACAAATGGTACTGAATTTGACTGTCCACGTAACAGTTTTGGTTGAGGTATATTTAAAGTATTATTTTCGAGAGCTTTTGACAATGAACAATTTGCAAATACACCACCATCTGAAATACGGCCGTTACATCCCACATCAACATACAAAAATTTATAATCGGCACCAACAAGAGCCATTAACACAATGCTGTGTGTCCCTTTGTAATTAAAGTAAAGGCTTCCACTATTCATTGGTGCTTTCATCACTACATGTTTACCATCAAGTGCTCCGATACAGTTAGGGAAATTCCAATTTTCATCAAAAAGTTGTGTTTCTTTTTCCCACTCATCAGATGTAGACGGAATCTGCAATTAGTATAAGTGATTTTTGAGTTAAATTTTTGTAACTTGTATATTGTAATTAGATTTTTAAGAATAACTTGTAATTAAAACATATTTTTTATTATATCCCTACAGTAAGACAGAGGTTCACTCCCACCCTACTGTACAGCAGAGTTCCCAGGATTTTTTTATCTAAATATATAACAGATCTAAATCGGGCTCAGCCCGTATTGTTAATAATAAATAAATAAATAAATAAATAACAGTATTTTAGTATGTATAATATAATAACATCGAGCGAGACAAAATATAGTATATAATATTATAATAAATAAAAAAAAAGGTTGTTAAGTGGATGTCGCTCTACTGTACAGAAGGTTACAAGTAGGTCACTATATGGCGGGTAGTATTAAATTTGAATCCAATGATAATATAAAATAATAATAATAATAATAAATAAAATATAATATAAAAAAATAAATAATAATAAATAATATATAATATCATTGTATAAGAAAAATGATTCTAAGTGGAGGCGGTATGTCAGTCTAGGTATATGAACAAAAAAAATTTAAAAAAAATTAACCTATACATTTTTTAGATTTTTCGGTTACAGTATGAATTACTTAAGAGGATCTTTGTTTTAAATTTTCAACCTTTAGTTAAAAAAACCGAAGATTTTATAATTTTTTAATTTCAATGATTGATAATTTTCGAGATTTTAATAAATTTTGTCAAAATTTGAAATTTAAATGCTTATAAAAAAAAATCGTACCTATGTATTTTCAATATTTTTCGACTACTATACTATCAATATATCAGGAACCTTGTATTAAATTTTCGGACTTTTTGGCCCACCAAATAAAATTTTATTGACACTTATAAAAAAAAAAACTAAAAAAATTGAAAACTAAAAATGACCGTAAACAGCTCAAAATAAGTCAAAATATTTTGAAAATGTTATGGAGTGTATAAAATTCTTATATAAACATTCAGTCAACATTGCATGTATCTACGGTCATTTGTTTTTGAGTTATACCAAAAACCAAAATCGATTTTGTCGAAAATCGGTGTTGCGTAAAAAATCCCGTTTTTTCCTTAATTTTTCATTTTTTTTTCACGAAAATTTTGAAAACTACTGAAAAATTTTATTTTTATTATTTCATTTCCCAAAGTACCATATAGATTCACTTTCCTATCAGAAAAGGTACTATTTAAGAAAATCTAAGCATTTTTACTGTCCTAAAACGTGATGACAGACACAAAAAACATAAAAAAAAACATACACCATAGTAAAACCAATACATTCATCGCTCCGCTCAGAATCTAAAATTTTACTTGTGTCGCTATGGTCTATAAATTATAAATACAAAAGTTGTACCAAAAGTTTGTTCTATCTGTTAGTTGTCACTTACTCAGTACATACTCGTATAAATAAACATTTTACTTGAATAGTTTACTGATTGACTTGCCCATGCCCTAAATCAAACAGCTACTCTTTTAGGTTAGTGATAATGAGGAAAATAGTGAAATCGTTATGTCTCAAGCTGAAGGGGAAACATCACACGAGACATTAATAGCTTCGATTACTGCTGACAATTCTTCAAAGAAAATTAAGAAAAAAAAACTAAATAAGGAAAATGAACCAAAATCTATGATAATCAAAGATGACGAAAAGTTATTCAAAGAAACTATGTCTGTGTTACGAGCTCCTCCGAGTGATGAATTCGATGTTTTTGGAAATTACGTTGCTGTGGAGTTACGACAACTCCGTTCTGAAGAACGAAGAAGACGATTGAAGCGCATAATACAGAGAGCTATCATTGATATGGGAGAAGAGGAAGACAGACGTGAAAAAATTGGTTCTACATGTTCATCTGGAAATTATTCAGATACTGTGTCTGACTGGGCATCATCTAGTAGTTTTTCTAATCAAAATCCATATGAATACTTAATAACTATTTCTAATTCATCATCAATGCCTCAACAAATAGCAAGTGACAGTTCTAATTTGTCAACTTTCTATGAAAACTATAATCCTCAGTAAAATTACTAACCTTCAGTTTCTCGTTTCAGTTCTTCAAACAACGCCTCACAAACTTCTGGAACAATTCGGCTAATAGTTGTTGGAGGAATCCGAAACAAAAAACTTAAAGACTGGTAACTGTCACCTACGTTAAAACAAGTAGCATATTTCATAAATTAAATATGATATACCTACATTTTATTTTATTTTAATATTTATTTTTATCTTATTTCTAATATAGAATGTATTGAAAGTTACAATATATTGTTATATAATATGTTATTTTATTAATTTATGATGGTTAAATTGTTCAATAAAAAGATACAAAAATAAGCAAAATAAAATATATTATACATTTTTTTTATTTATCAAACCGTTTACCTGTGGCAAGAAACCTCAACGTCAATGTTAGTCGTTCTGAAGGTGAAATCGCTTTTTGGAGGTGAGTATCTTTTTTTATAATTTTCGGTGTTATTATTTCTAAAAGATTTTGGTAATCATTTTTGGACATTCGTATGAAATTTTCATACGAAGTGGTATCTTCTACACTTATTTCTTTCAGTAACTTTGCGTGCACTCCTTCGTCATCTCTTTTTGATATCCAATTTCTCACCCACAACCTCTTCGTTTTTTTCGATTTTATTTCCTGTTTTTTTTTTAATCAAACTGCACACTATAATTGCGGCTGCAACGCGTTTGCGGTCCGACATTTTTCGTACAAATAAAACGAACAACCAAAATGCTCTCTCAATAAAATAACTATCTAGACTATCAAGTTTGACTAATGTACATGGGCTGTAGACTTATCTAGGTAGATTTGATCTATGCGCTCTCTATGAATGCTCTAATTAGAGTACATTTCACTCTAGTGTAAACACACTTCTAGTGCAGTCTAGCTAGAGCAATCTAAATCTAGCTGTATTTATCTCTACAGTGTACACTGTATTACCCAGCCTTGGTTAATTGTACTGTAACGACGACCAATGCGATAGGCATTCTGGAATCTTCTGGTATGATTAAGCGCATCGAGAACATTCATGAATCGCCACCAAAGTAATCGCCTACACTTAATCGTTTAAAATGATCAAAAATGATCGAAAACACTCTTGAACATTATCGTCTCAATATATAAATACCGGTAGACCAGTCGTCGTCGTCGTCGTCGTCGCTCAGTCAGGCTAGTCTATACCACGCGCGGTAGTTGCCGTGTTATCGTTTTATACCCGTGATCTGGTATGTGATCAGTATCTCACATTTGTATTATACATTACACATTCTCATAATTTATTTGTATTTAATATCAGAATATAAAAATAAGTTTATTAAGATAATTATTGTGTGCAGATCAATATTCCTCAAACAACCCATAATACTGTTGGTTTTCGACAACGCACTCATACCCACGCGTATATTTTAATAAATGTATCTCGATTGTGTATTATGCTAAAAATGTATGGAGTATGTATAGTATTAATTTATGGGTATATTTATGATTTTCCATGGTTGTAAGACTAAATGATTGAAAAAATACCACAACTGATTGTTTGATTGTTTTGTTGCTTTTACAACTCATACATTGTTCATTGTTCAATAACAAATATGATCCGTTCATCAATTTCACCATCACAAAACTCGTACATGCATCACACGTTACCTAAACTCAACCGCTGTGTAGAAACAATTGTCAAACCGCTACGTCACGTGTTAAATCTATGGTGAGTATATTAGTAATTTTCTTCCAGATTTTGCATACTTCTGAAACGCTTGTTTACACGCACGCATGACATTTGCCTATAAACAACGCCGTTTTCTAAATTTTCCAACAATTTTCTTATGAAATTCATTCGTATAGATTTCTTGTTGGCAATTCTTGGTATTATTCTTTTATTTATTTATTGTATTTGTTATTTTTGTAACTACCTACATGAACAATAGTTAATTCTGTAAATCTTACTTGATATAATATAAGGTTAAATTATCCACTATGATATTGCTATCAGACATTGGTAAAATACATTTTAAAAGTATTTAGAATAAATACTCGAATACTTACAAAAAATAGTATTCCGAATACTTTTAAAATACTTCTAGTTTTCATTCTATAAAAATAATAGATGTCCACTCAACAGATATATTTGATATTGTAGACTAAATATATGTTATTTTATTGTACTTTTATATTACATAACTGTTATTGTTTATGGTTTACAACAATAATAAATACCTGATATGAGCTTATACAAGATACGATGGAGAAGAAATAAGATCATTTAAAAAAGATACGATTTGACGGTATTCGAAGTTACAGTATTCAGAATACTCGTTATAAGTATTCAAAATACTTTATTGAATACTTTCAAAAAAAGTATTTAAAAAGTATTCTGAATACAGTATTATACAATATTGTATTAGGAATACTACCCAAGTCTGATTGCTATTGTCTTTGGTGATTCATTTTCATGTGCAAGCAATACAATTTGTGCAAAATTTAGTCGTCTCATAAATACAAAATTATCCAAATCCCGTTCGGTCGTTTTGATACTAAAACTTAAAATCAATAAAATCTTAATGTTGGAAAAAATTGAGGATTAGATATAGTTCATCGTGTATGTTTAATCAGTATGTAGTGTACCGTATTTTTGGTAAAGAAATAGTGTGTAAGCTAAGTTTAAAAGAATTTTTAAAACTTAAATCGTTATACCGTAATAAACGTAAAACGAACGTTTTCTAAACGATTTTCTATCAAATTAAGATTATTATTAGCATTGTAATATCGTTGTAAAATATTTATCTTTGGCAATAGTTTAAATTATAATAAAAATTATTATTTGTAGATTTTGATATAGACGTTTTATATTTTCATTTACACGTAGTACGACATGTAAATACTAAACTTATTCTAATAACATGAAATATATTCATTACTATGTATTCCTATTACGTTTTCGTAAACTAATAATGATTTTGAAACAGGTTCCAATCAACGGTACACATCATCGGAGCCTAAAACCGTGTGTATTAGCCTAGTGTAAAAGTATACAGCACATTTTCGTTAACAATTATAATAATTTTACAGAGATCGCTAATCATTGATTGGAATATTAATGCGGAAGCCAGGATACTATCAGGCTTTATCGTTGATATTTTTACCTTGAGATGAATCGCGTACAAAACATGAATCGGAGTACTACTTCCGTGGTATTGTATGAAAATTAAAAAACAAACGTTTCATACTGAACAAATACGTTTTGTAGTACCTTCCTCTACCAATGTACAAGTCATCATGTTCCACAAATATTTGCACTTTTCAATGGCTCCGAAATGTATTCTATGAACTGGTGAACTTTTAATAGCTTTAAGCTTTAAGGAAATCATAAGTAGCTATTATGCTTATTTATATTTGACTTAAGTTCATTTATCAACATTTATCAAGTGAATGCTTTTGACGTGAAAAACTATAATCTAAGTTGTTAATAATTATTATCACATAACTTTGGATTGTATCTAAATTGTACTAGATACAAGTTAAAAAAGTATTTAAATCCACGATACAAGATACAAAATACAATTGTACCTCAGATACGTATCTTAACCCTTCGTTAGTCACCTTGTTGACCTGAACAATTTTAATCACCCGGGGTAATATTATACCCCATGTATTAAACTTATTTCTGTAATTAATAAATTCATAGATTTTATTATTTTTTATTAAATATGTGTCTTACATATAGATATAATTAATATTTAAATAATTAAATGCGATTTTTTTAAATATTTCAAAGATAATATGAACATTTATTCTATATAATTATAAAATTAAATATTGCTAATTACTTATCTAGTTTTTTATTTTATTTTTTATGTGACATTGATATAGTGATCTATTATTTAAATTATTATTTTGGATAACATATACAACATATTATTATTATTATTTATTAGTTTATGTTAAATAGGAACCCTAATATCATAATTGAAAATAGGTCAAATATAATGTAATTATCTTTTCAGTATACTTTTATAGTAAAATTAAAATAAAAATATTTATTCTCAAAAGAAACTCTTTTTAAGAAATATAACAATTTTTAAAAATACAGAACTTGTAACGAAAATAATAAAAAACTTTTTTTAAAAAACTTAATAATTCTGTAAAAATTGGAATTTTTTTATATATTAATTTTCAAATGATCTAAAACTAAAGTAATCACCTGGGGTAAAATATTTCCAGACTCTGCTTTGAATTACTGTTTATCATTTGACATTGCAATGATACTGATAAAAATCATGCTATCATTTTAATAAACTAATCAAAAATGATATGACGGCGGTGGAGGTGCATGTGTTCTTACCTCTATAAGAATAAACGTTTTTAACATGTCTGGGGTATTAAAATACCCCGTGGTGACTAACGAAGGGTTAAATACTAGTATCTAAAATACTGCCCAGCCCCGACCATGTCTACCTGTACTTGTACTAAGTCTTGAAAGCTATGTATTCGGACGTTCGACAATCGTTCTAGTCCAACTACTCGACGAATATGTAACCGCAGTCTAGCACGGCGATACCACCGCAAGTACAGAATGTATCTTGACCAGCAGATGGCGCTAAACGATGCTCGCGAGCAACGGGTTACGAGCTAAACGATTACACCACGTGTGCAGTACACGTAAAATATTATTGCCGATTGAATGATTCTGTTAAATACTATAATGTTTTTCCATCGGTCGTTTCTCATTCTACACGAGATTACTGCGATTACCTAGCCGAGCATTATAACCACGATCGAAGTCATAACTCCAATTCTCATAGACGTTGGTCGAATTATCGCAAAACGCATCGAAGTTACATTTCAAAACGAATTAAGGCGTATCGAACCGTGGCGGGCTAACGAAAAATGATTTCATCGATTCATCAATCGACTCATTAAAATCCGTCTAAATGCTTAAAAATTAAATCTTCCAAGCCAACCTGAAACAAGAAAAAGTGACAGTTTAAAAAAAATATTTAAAAGTTAAATATTG